TATAATTAAACTAAAATTATTATAGACTATATGGTTTTTGTCATCTTCTGATTGGTCAACTTCAGATGGATCGCCAAATCATCTCGTTCAACCGCACATACGCCATTTAAATTTAAACCGACAGCATCTGATTTTTTTTGACATGTTTGAAAATTATCGGGTGGACGGGAGGTGCTCGTAACGTCTAGGATCGGCCCGTAAGTGCTGTGGATCGCCGGATCGGCTTTCACCGTGGACGAAGCGGAGTCCAATCCGGGGTCGTCACATGTGGTTGCCACAATGTCTACTTGATACTTTCTCATTTAACACACAAATAGCTTTAAATAATCTTTTGCGGGTATTTTCACAGTCAGATTTATGTTGCGATTAATTGCGATTAATTAATCGAAACATCATGTAATTAATTAGATTAAAAAAAATGAATCGACTGACAGCCCTAATTATTACTTATTTTGCCATGACACACATACATACATGTGCAAATTACATTTTACATTTTTTGAAATAATATTACACATGGTTGGGTCAAAGGGGACAGACTGTCTGCCTAATGTTACACTAAATAGTAGTCAGAAAAAACACTTCAGGATTTTAGTCTAATTTCAAAAATCTTCTGCTGAGAACCTTAATGTGAATATAAAGTGTAAAATGAAATGTTTATCAAATGTGTTTATTCTGCCATTGTTCCCTGACATAAGATTATGGTGTCTTGTACAGTCTCCTCTTTACTGTTCTTTGAGATTTTAATCAAGGGAACGGTACAGTTTGTTTGTGGTTTTAAGTTGCTATGGTACAGATGTCCTCAACTACAAAACTTTCAGCGAATCACAGGGCGTCTTTGTACACGCACACCAATCAGTGAGCTGTTTACTGAAAACGTTCGGTGCCATGGCGACCGCTGTCATGGTAACCACCAAGCGCAAAGCTGAGAAATGAGCGCTTGAGGAAGAGCCTTCACAAGAAAAGGGCTGGAATTGAAAAAGCTTTATTAATTGTATTGTTCAGACTCTTAGTTCATAATGTAGCCGTGTGGTTATTTTATAAAAATCCATTTTAAACGTCTTGCGTTTCGGATAAACACAACAGTACCAATGAAGCGTCCTAGCGTGCGAATGGCGACTAGCCACCTGCTTCTCGGTTAAACATTTATCGCTTGTCATCGTCAATCACGCGAAAAAAAAACCCCCCAGATATTTCTGTAATTAGCATCAGATTTAATTTTTACTAAAAAACGTGAATCAGTTTGTTTCAAAATGCCAGCCTCGAATGTCCAAGATTCTCACTCAAACCTCCGAAGTTCACGCGAGAAGATGCCAGCAGGATTCAAAACAAAAGTGGTGGCACCCCGAAATCCCAAACTGGTAAAACGGGAAGCAAATTCTGAGGTGAGCATTTTAATCTATATATACATCTATATCTATATCTTAAAACTGTAATTTTAAAGCAGCAGTTTACCCTTATCATTAACTTAAATCCCTGCCTCTAAACAGAGCACTAACTATTAGTAATTTATTAAACTACAATTTACATAAACATACAGACTTACTGTTCTTTCTTAAAAGGACACCTAAAATGCAGTGTTTTGAATCACATAACTAGCTATTAAAAATGAACCACATTCTTCACTACAGTACATTAAGCATTTACATTAAGAGTTTGACCATGAAAAATAAGTGCATTGTTTATGTTCCTTGTTGATTGACAGGTGGGTGATTGAAAGCTGTTGAGTGTTGACAACCTGTTCTTCTCTATTAGTCCAATTTTATTTATTGTAACAGCGCCCTTTTATTTTTTCCCTTTTATTTTTGTTTGTCATTTAATATCCAATAGACTATATCTATGTATATGTCAAGAAGCAAACTTCCTGATGTCTGCATGTCACTGTTAGGCAATATAAAGCAAACAGTCTAGTCCAGGGATCTCCAACCCTGCTCCTGGAGAGCTACCAACCTGCAGACTTTCGTTTCAACCCTGCTCCAACACCTCTGCCTGCCTGTAATTATCAAGTAAGCCTGAACACCTTGATTAACTGGTTGAAGTGTGTTGATTGGGGTTGGAGCTGAAATCTGCAGAATGGTAGCTCTCAGAATACAGAGCTCTCTGCAATATAGATTCATGCAGAATATAGGAAAATATTTTTACATGGTGGATAAATGCGCTCATAACAGGCTGCATATGTCTTTGCAGCTGATTCCATCTGTATATGCTCGAGAAATGTGCCAGACTACAGAAGAACGATTATCAAACACTTACGAGATGCATCCGCCCCGTATCCTGGAGCTTTTAGATATGAGTGAGACCACACATCACAAGGTAAAATATCAGCATTTTACAATGCTCAGTACAAGAGCTTAATTATTTAGTTTGTTCTTCTACATCACTGGTTCCAAGTATCTTAGCAGCAACATTTTCAAAGTTAATTAAGGTCATTATCACAGTCTCTCTCTGGGGAGACACTAATGGCTTTTAATATGTATAGTATAGTAACTGTAGCTGTTACAAAAAGCCATTTGTTGAGCCATTTTCTACATGTTATATTTAAAGCTTTCTGACCCTCCATAGACAGCAACGCAACTGACAAGTTCAAGGTCCAGAAAGGTAATAAGGATCGGTAAAATATCATTATCACTATCGTTAAAATATTCCATGTGACATCATTGTTCAACCATAATGTTATGAAGCTATGAGAATACTTTCTGTGCGCAAAGAAAACAAAAATAACAACTTTATTCAACAATTTCCTCTTACCACGTGTACCACAACACATAACGCCAGGCCCTGCGTCAGCAGCACCACATGCATGCGTCGTGGTACTCTTGTAAGACTGACACGGAAGAGAAGAAATTGTGGAATAAATTTGTTATTTTTGTTTTCTTTGCACACAAAAAGTATTCTTGTAGCTTCATAACATTACGGTTGAACCACTGATGTCACATGGACTATTTTAATGATGTCTTTACTACTTTTCGGGGCCTTGAATGTGTCAGTTTTGTTGCTGTCTATGCAGGGTCAGAAAGCACTTGGATTTCATCAAAAATATCTCAATTTGTGTTCCGAAGATTAACAAAGGTCTTATGGGGTCGGAATGACTTGAGGGTGAGTAATTAATGACAGAATTTTCATTTTCGGGTGAACTATCCCTTTAAGGCCTTGCCTTCTTCAAGGCTTTATGTTCCTTTGTGTATCACCACTGACATTCAGATGCTTGTAATTGTAGGATTACATCCACAGACTCATCTGTGTGACTGAACGTGAGAAGTTTGAAGTTCCTATTCGTGCAATTGGGCCGCGTGCCATCTTGGACTTCCCAGATAGTCTGCATTTCCAAGGTTGTCCGGTTAAGTGCTTGTCCCAGAGTACTCTGCTTGTGCGGAACATAGGAAATTGTGAGGCTAAATTCCAGCTCAGCACGTGTAGGTAAGAGAGGCATGTCAGTGCAGATTTTTGGACATTGTGTTTTACAGATCATTTTGATCTGTGACTGACACTGTCTTTTTAAGATTGCATTTATAAATGGTGTATATGTTCCCCACAGCCCATTTTCCGTAGAACCATCCATAGGAACTCTTGATGTTGGTCAAAGCATGCAAGTTACCGTTGAGTTCTTGCCTAAAACCACAGGGGATCACAGCCAGGTTTTGCTGCTGCACTACCATTCAGGTATTTACTGCTAATTACATCACCACAATCTGCTCTTCCCACAAACTTCTCCTCTGCAACACTGCTGTATATCACTGTGACACAGGTACTGATTTCCACATGCAATTGCCAGCAAGTGTAAATGATCTTATTATTAACCTTCACTGTTAATGTCAGTTTATCTTTATATTTTCCAAGGCTTTATATTTAATGTTCCTGTGGCTCAGTGGTAGAGCATTGTGTTAGCAGCGATGAATCCTGGACTCCTGCTCAAAGTGATAAATTAATATAAGGACAGCTACAAAAAAAACAACAATAAGCCCGCAAAGCTGTTGTCATTCCATCCTGACGGATGACAGCCGTGACAGCTAAGTGGAATCCCGGAAAATAAACCGTGGAACTTTGACCAATGAGACAACAGTTTACTCACGTGTGACTTGTATTAACAAATTTGGTCCGTTTAGAAACTTTGCCGTGTGAAAGCGAACCGCACCAAGAATAAAAAGCAACATTGTAATAATTTTAACCCCTGTTTCAGAACACAGCAATCAATCTACAGGTGTGAAAGCACCCTAAGATATTTTTGATGAAATCTGAGAGCTTTCTGACCCTCCATAGACAGCAACGCAACTGACAAGTTCAAGGTCCAGAAAGGTAATAAGGATCGGTAAAATATCATTATCACTATCGTTAAAATATTCCATGTGACATCATTGTTCAACCATAATGTTATGAAGCTATGAGAATACTTTCTGTGCGCAAAGAAAACAAAAATAACAACTTTATTCAACAATTTCCTCTTACCACGTGTACCACAACACATAACGCCAGGCCCTGCGTCAGCAGCACCACATGCATGCGTCGTGGTACTCTTGTAAGACTGACACGGAAGAGAAGAAATTGTGGAATAAATTTGTTATTTTTGTTTTCTTTGCACACAAAAAGTATTCTTGTAGCTTCATAACATTACGGTTGAACCACTGATGTCACATGGACTATTTTAATGATGTCTTTACTACTTTTCGGGGCCTTGAATGTGTCAGTTTTGTTGCTGTCTATGCAGGGTCAGAAAGCACTTGGATTTCATCAAAAATATCTCAATTTGTGTTCCGAAGATTAACAAAGGTCTTATGGGGTCGGAATGACTTGAGGGTGAGTAATTAATGACAGAATTTTCATTTTCGGGTGAACTATCCCTTTAAGGCCTTGCCTTCTTCAAGGCTTTATGTTCCTTTGTGTATCACCACTGACATTCAGATGCTTGTAATTGTAGGATTACATCCACAGACTCATCTGTGTGACTGAACGTGAGAAGTTTGAAGTTCCTATTCGTGCAATTGGGCCGCGTGCCATCTTGGACTTCCCAGATAGTCTGCATTTCCAAGGTTGTCCGGTTAAGTGCTTGTCCCAGAGTACTCTGCTTGTGCGGAACATAGGAAATTGTGAGGCTAAATTCCAGCTCAGCACGTGTAGGTAAGAGAGGCATGTCAGTGCAGATTTTTGGACATTGTGTTTTACAGATCATTTTGATCTGTGACTGACACTGTCTTTTTAAGATTGCATTTATAAATGGTGTATATGTTCCCCACAGCCCATTTTCCGTAGAACCATCCATAGGAACTCTTGATGTTGGTCAAAGCATGCAAGTTACCGTTGAGTTCTTGCCTAAAACCACAGGGGATCACAGCCAGGTTTTGCTGCTGCACTACCATTCAGGTATTTACTGCTAATTACATCACCACAATCTGCTCTTCCCACAAACTTCTCCTCTGCAACACTGCTGTATATCACTGTGACACAGGTACTGATTTCCACATGCAATTGCCAGCAAGTGTAAATGATCTTATTATTAACCTTCACTGTTAATGTCAGTTTATCTTTATATTTTCCAAGGCTTTATATTTAATGTTCCTGTGGCTCAGTGGTAGAGCATTGTGTTAGCAGCGCAAAAGGTCATGGGTTTGATTCCCAGGGAACACACATACTGGTAAAAAATGTATAGTCTGAATGCACTGTCGCTTTGGATAAAAGCGTCTGCTAAATGCATAAATTAAAATTAAATTAAATATTTTCCAATCTACTAAGAATAGTTTTAATATACAAATATTCTCTTTACTTTTCACTACCCACACATACACTGCACATACAATAATGGAGATGATATTTTAAAGTACAATAAATTGCAAAACATCACATTGATACATCACATAAGCCAAATTGCATTGTGCTTTTTTAGGCATAATATCTGTACATGACTTTCCTCAAGGTTTTGTGGAATTGAATGTATTATTCTTTAGGTATTTTTTTTAATTAGTTATTTCATTGTATTTGAGCTAGAATGCTACATTTTGCTCTTTCAGAGGGTAGTACTTTAGGCGAATAGTTCTATTAATAAATCCAGTTAACAGATATTTTTGAGCCTGAAATGCTGCGGGTGCCTAGTTAACCTCATAAATAATTCTTTCCCTTGTCTGTATGATAATGTGATATACGTCAGGATGCACAGGTTCCACTACTAAAATAATTTAATTTTGGATTCTGTTTTCATGCCAGAAAATACACCACTGTTCAAAAGTTTGGTCAGTAAGATTTTTAAAGGAAATTGTTCTTCAAAATGTTTTTTTGAACTTTCTATTCATCGAAGAATCCTGAAAAAAGTGTATCACGTTTTCTACAAAAATATTGAGAAACAATCATTTTCAAGCGTTATGTTTTCAACATATAAGAATGATTTCTAAAAGATCATGTGACACTGAAGACTGGAGCATTTCCTGCTGAAAATTAAGTTTTGCCATCACAGGAATAAATTACATTTTGAAATCTATAAAAATAAAATAAGTAATTTTAGATGTTTTAAAAAACACTTTCTGCTTTAAAAATAATACAGCGGCTTGAAATTATATTAGTTGCATGTTTATGAATGTCCATATGATTTGACATTCATTGCTGCATATGATGACAGTAATTTCTTAAATAATTTGACATATCACAAGTTAAAGGGATAGTTCACCCAAAAATGAAAATTCTATCATTAATTACTCACCCTCATGTCGTTCCAAACCTGTAAGACCTTCGTTCATCTTCAAAACACAAATTAAGATATTTTTGATGAAATCCGAGACCTCTCTGACCCTCCATAGACAGCAAGGGAGCTACCACGATCAAGGCACAGAAACGTAGTAAGGACATCAGTAAAATAGTCCATGTGATATCAGCGGTTCAGCCGTAAGTTTATGATGCTACAAGAATACTTTTTTCGGAGACAGTATCACGACGCATGGGCGCACTTGCCTCATCATGTAAACAACGCATACACGTGCTGACATGTGTGTGTTACGTAAGCAGCAGCGCCATGCGCATGCGTTGTTTACATGATGTGGAAGGGCGCGCATGCATCGTGATACTCTCTCCATAATGGCGGTACATAACTGCAGATGGGATGAGGAGAAGAACTGTTGAATAAAGTTGTTATTTTTGTTTTCTTTGCACACAAAAGTATTCTCATAGCTTCGTAAACTTACGGTTGAACCGCTGATGTCACATGGACTATTTTACCGATGTCCTTGCTACGTTTCTGTGCCTTGATCGTGGTAGTTCCCTTGCTGTCTATGCAGGGTTCTCAGAAAAAGCTCTCGGATTTCATCAAAAATAGAATTTAGATTTTTGGGTGGACTAACCCTTTAATATCACAACTATAACATTAACGGTAAAACGGTATAATGTTAACTTTAACAACAATTAAATCTACATTTTACAACATTTTGATACAGAAAACTATGTTTAAGTTTGGAATGCATAAAAATAGGATCAATAAATGCTGTATGTGGTAATTAAGCAGCATTGGCCCTATGGGGCAATTGACTGCTTCACCATCTGCCCTGAAACTCTCTCACACTGGTCCTGGGCCAACAGGCCATCCTTATTGTTGCACCTTGTTTTGTTTTTGAACAGGCAAATTTGTGAAATTACTTAAATTTCCACTTGTGGGCTGTGCTTTGAACTCTCAAACTCTCAGAGAGCTATGATATTAGTCATTTGCAGACTCAAATGATTTTTTTCAAATGATATTTTTACATAACACAATAGTTGATTTGTTGTTAGGATTATTTAATTACGTCTTAATCTTAATGCTGAATCACTGTTTCATCTGAATCAGCGGTAGGCGGATAGGCATTATTCATAGGCAAGATGGTGCAAAGAAATGTTTAAATAAAGTTCATGTGCATGGCTAAGAGGGTGTGTTTAAACTGACATGCCAGTGTGAATTATTGTCTGTGTGAATGTGTGTGTATGTTTCAACATATAATTGAGCATGTGGTTTAGGTGTGTGTGTGTGTGTGTGTGTGGTTTTTGCAGGTGCTCTGCCTGTCTCACTGAATAAACACACAGGTCTGCTGAAGGCCATTGGCATTAACATTTTAATATGCGCTCTGCTCTAAAAATACTACTTTGCGCCCATCAGGGGAGTATAATTTTTAATTTAGCGCCTGTTCCTGTCTCCTCCTCATTTATGTTTAACATGAAGCTGCTTTGGAGCATGTCTTCATTGGTTTCGTTCTGGGGTTGGCAGAAATATTTCCCTGCAGTCCCAGTTGCCTCTCAGAGAAGCACACAGACCTGTCTCAAGTCTCTAAAGGTGCTCTCTACTGTTCCGGAACAGTGTTGTAAATACAACTTAACCACTGATTTCTAGTCACACACAGCGTCTCCACGACATGGCGGCGAGGCGACAGCAACAATACTACAGCGAGAATCAAAGTTACGCCTTCTTTCTTTGCGTGAACATTTGGGCGGCGTTATGCAAATCTTCCCACATCGTGACGTAGACATGTCGGGGCGTGTTTAAAAGAGCCATTTTAGGTAGGCGTGGTTGACTCTTAACTTTTATAAAGAATATCTCTTTGGATTTGAGACTTTAGTCTTTGCAACTTTACAGATCTTCTTTATGCACCAAGAGCTTGTAACACTCCAAAGAGAAAGGAAAAATTGAAATAGCATCATATGACCCCTTTAAATGTTTTTGTGGTTACCATTGATTTAAAGAGTAGAGTGTGGTTAGTTTGTCAGATTGTTATATAATGTTGTTTGTTGCTTCATTCAATGAACATAGATGTGCTAATGTAAATGCAGTGACAAACTAAAAATGTATATCTAAAATTTAGATAAACAGTATAAACATTTGCCTTTAAAAAGTTAAGTAAAAACAAAATGCGCTCAGCTGAAATTTAAAGGTTAATGTCAGTGTTACTTATTGACAACCAGGCGACAGGTTTTATATGAACAACTTGGGTGCAATCTGTGGCTGTGCCTTTAACCGCACTGTTTGACTGTCCATGAATAATAGACTACAAAGCTAAAGAGTTACTGAAGCCCATGTAGTCCCTCTGAAACCATAATGTGTTTAACTACCAATAGCTGGAAGTGAGTAGAGACACTTCTCTAAGCAACACAGGCAAGGATGAGTTACTTAATCTGTCCTACATTTTCAAATGCCTCCGAGCTGTTTTGCCTCGTATCATCTGCCTTATCCAGGCTGCAGAGTTTGCCCATTGACTCTAAAATATGCATAAAGAGCCAAAAAGCTCCGGGAAGCAGCTGCAGCAGTCGGACAGAGGGGATCCTACACGCTAGTACACACTCAGTGTGACTCTTTCTTATACAGTGAACGCTATTTCCTTTTAAGGGACGCTTGGGATTCTTCAAAGGATATCCCTCCCATCAGACATTTCTGGCTGTAAATAGGGAATGCATGCATGGAACTTCGGTATGAGAAGAAGTTTGTTTTGTGGTACCGCATGTATCTCATTTCTTATATTTCCATTACAAATTGCAGTGCAGCACATTACCCATGGCTTGTTTGCTATTAACGGCATTCATGTAGAAATAAAATCTCATTACCGTGGCGTTCAGAGACAAGAGATGCAGAGGGAGCTGTAAGCATCTAGGTCTGTTTAAATGGCAACATCGAGGTGAGGAGAGCTAATGAAAAAAAACAGTATTATATTTGCGAATGAAAACATGGTGCACCAAAGCAAAACACGGCTCACGGGTCGCCTTTTCCATTCTGTCTACAGTATATCAATCTCTCTCCTTTCCTCCCCTGTTCAATAGTCTGTCGTCTGCTCAGACAGCATAACACAATGCATACAAAACATGTCACGAAAATAAATAAGATAATTACTCCTGTACGCTGAACGAATCACTAAAATGCGTTGTGCTGTTGTAAGAATGCATGCTAACAGCTTCCTCAGAAAGGCTAAAGAATCAGTTGCTGTTGTTAGGATAATTGTTTTTCTTTTATTTATGCATATTTTGTTCAGTGTAGTCTAATTAATGTTTGGCATAGGTTAATTGCTGTAGGAATGCATGTTGTTACTCAAGACGTCCAAAAGGAAATTGCTGTATTGTATGTTTTGGTCATCTCAGATTTGTTTTTCTTTCATCTGGAGGGCCAAATGTGTATCCTATAGTCTACTTGATGATATAAGTAGACCGCTTTCCTCCTCAAGGAGAATTCCCTTATCTCGACAGGCTTTTTAGAGTGCACTTAAGTGTGAGCTGATGAAGACATCACACATACGCACACACTCTGCAGCACTATGAAAGCTTTCCTCATTTCCCATTCTTCTCCCCTTCCCTCTCTTCTGAACAAGCTCCCACAATCCCTCAGCCCGCTGGCAGATGCAGTGTCCAATCAAAGACACAATTTCCTTCACTCTTTTTTTTTTCCCTCTTAAAGCTTCATGCATAGAGACAGAGGTTAAATGTCTTTGGCTCATTTGTGAAAAGTGATATCTATGGCGAATTAATCAGTGGAGAGAGGTTGAAAGGGTGAAACTGGGATGGAGCTGACAAAAGAAAGAAACCACAGGACACAACCTGCCTTCTACCTGTATCATCTTCAGGATCTTATTGATAATTATGATGGTTTCATATCTTCTCCCAATGTTTTTTTTCTCTCTCTGCCTGTCTGTAATCTTACTATCTTTCTTGTACACTCTCTGTCTGTCTATTCCCTTTCATAAAGCCTTTATTTTTTTCCCATACAGCTTCTTTCCTCTCTTTCCAAACTTAAGCATAAATGCAAATACTTCTGCTCCTGGTACTTCATATGTTCTGCTGCAGTTACAATGGCTTGTTTAAAATGTGCATGGAGTAACAGCAGTACTTCTGCTAGGACACATGCTTGCATAACTGGAGCAGAAATATAGACAATATAGAGAAAATGCTCCGGGCTTTAGTTTCCTCTTACTCACACACTCATTAGTTTTTACTAAACAGCACAGGAAAACATTTGGTCAAAGCGTAGTATTACATATTGTTTACATTTTGCAAGACACTGTTGTTATTTTCTGTGGTTTAACCTTAAGAACATCACTTTTTGCTGTTTGTATTTGATAACACTAAGTTTTGCCTTTGGATATTGTTTGACAAATTATTTGCTATGCTGCATTGTGATAATATTTTGTTAACATTACATTTAAATATGAAAAAGGATATTTATTTTGAGATTTGCTAAATATTATATTTAACAGTGTTAATAAATTATTAGTGTTTTTAAAGATTAAGTGAGCACTAACTGATGGCAAAGGTAATCTAAATGTAAAAATACATCGATCAACCAAACCACCTGCCTAATATCGTGTAGGCCCCCTTGTACTGCCAAAGCAGCTCTGAACTCCACAAGACTTGTGGTATCTGGCACTGAGACATTAGCCACAGATCCTTTAAGTCCAGAAAGTTGGGGCATCCATGGATTGGATTTGTTGGTCCAGCACATCCATAAAATAGATGCTCTGTCAGATTGAGATCTGGGGAATGTGGAGGCCAAGGCAACACTTTGAACTCTTTGTCATGTTCTCAAATCATTCCTGAACAATTTTTGCAGTGTGGCAGGGAGCATTATCCATGAAGGGGTGTACGTGGGTTTGCGTAGGTGGTACGTGTCCAAGTAACATTCACATGAATGCCAAGACCCAAGGTTCCCAGCAGAACACTGTCCAGAGCATCGCCTCTTTTTGCTTGCCTTCTTCCCATAGTACATCCTGCGGCCATCTTTTCTTCAGGTAAATGATGCACATGTACCTAGCTATCCACCTGATCTGAAAGAAAACATGACTCATCAGAACAGGTAGCCTTCTTCCATTGCTTCATGGTCCAGTTCTGAGGTTCATGTTCCCATTGTAGGTGCTTTTGGCAGTGGACAGGGGTCACATTGGGCACTCTGACCAGTCTGTGGCTACGCAGTGTTGTTCAGTTATTTGTGTTTTTAATGATTAGGTGTGTGTTAGATGCTGGCAAAGGTAATCTGAATGTAAAAATGGGGTAAATGGGCGTTGCAATTAAATATCTAATTTCAGCATGCAATATCGCTCAATGCTGATAAAACTAATATTGTCCAATAACCAATATGATATTGATATATTCTTATTTATCAACATATTTGCTTTACTTTTGCATAAGTTATTGTCTTCCCAGCATCCATAGCAGCCTCATTAGGCAGTGTACTGGATCAGTGTGCATTGAAGACAGTCAGTGTATTTTGAAGACCTCAATGTACAAAAAAGACAAACAGGTTAGGGGTTAATTTTGTGCCGTACACCTGATACCATGAAGGTCTCGATGGGATGGTATGAAGGAGGGTGGGTAAAGTCTTAACAATCTGAAATGCCTCTGGTGACCTGTCTGTTTGTGTCCAAGAGCTATGGCCCCTGCAGAATAGAGTCTTCAGAGAGAGATCTATGCTGAGAAAAATAAAAGTATTCTCTCTAGAATATGTGCAAGAGTTGCAAATGGTGTACATATACGCACAGTCGCACACTCAAAAACATAGGTGTGAACGCATATGCTCGTACATGCATGCATGTAATATGTCAAGTGAAATAGTGCATGCACTTGTGACGTTTGGGCAATGAAGCGTGCTAAGACAACCAATAAATGTAGCAGCTGAAATTTGTTTCTCTACAATATCCATCACTTTGCTTTGGCTTTGTTTACTTGAGGAATTGTCTCATATATTTGCACCTCTCCTCCCCAGATCTGTGTTTGTCAGTCAGCACAATCATATCACATATTCCAAATGCTATATATCCAGAGCAGAAGAAGATTTATTGTCCAAGATCAATGTTTACTTGGTATATATCATTTTATAGTGATTGCTGTTTATATTTGAATTTATTTTTATTTTTTTGCTTTGTGTGGGTGCATGAGTAAGTGCGCTGACATCATGGACAAGGCAGGGTTGTGATAGTCCACTAAGCATGAAGCTCCTGCTTTGAATGTAGCCAAACGAGTAAAACAAATAAAAATGCAGGTAAATGTATGTAAGTCAGCTGCACTTCTGATTTGAGCTCTTGTTTTGAATGTTACTTGTGTTTGCTGCTGATTGGTTTTTGGTGATGTCATGTGATTGCTTTTCACTGGGGAGCTCTTATCCTGATGGACCTTCAGGTTCACAGTCATTGCAGCACAACAGCACCACCATGGTAACAAACAAAGAACACACACTTCTATTTGTTTACATTTAGCACCACCACTATGGTGACTGAAACAATCGCAGCTTCAGTCGTATAATTGGCTAATTGTAAAACTTTATGCTTGCTGGAGAGTTAATGGGGACTTTTTCTACTATTCACTCTTTCACAAGTGTATACCTTCTCCAAGGGTTATTCGTAGAAAACAGTTCCATTGGTACCCCATTTGTGTCCTCATGTTTTACTACTCATTCTGTATAACAAAACAGAATACTGCATTATTTTATAGATGTATCTCTGTTTAGTCTGTAATGCAAAACATGTCATTTTATAAATTATACATTTTAGCTAAAATGTCATGCTTTCAATGTCTATACAGATATGCAGATTTAATCAATTTTTTTGACTGGCAATTGATTAAATGGCCATCAAGTCTTTTTCGGTACATCATTTAACCTTCTTTGGCCTAATTAAGTTCAATAAAATATTATTTTTTATTTCAAATAATGTGGTATGATGAAATGATATTTGCTAGTTATGTTTTTGCTTTCAACGTTAGAACAGTCAACCCTATAACATTTTATTGGCAAGATTTATGTTCGTTGCAGCGAATTTTATTGCATATGCATTTGTAGGAGTTTCTCCTTCAGACACAAAATTTATTGGTTGAGAGTATTTAACTGAATCGTGCAACGTGATTTACTAACATTTGCGGTAGTCAATTTACAGATATTTGCACCATTATTTTACGCCCCAATAAAGCATGCCTTAACATATTTTGCGCTTGACATGGCTGCGATAGTTGCTAATTTGCCCTGCTCTTGGTAGATTGTGTTGAGCATTATGGAAATGAGCTGGCTGGATCTGTGTTCTTTAATTTGCACATTGCCAGTAGATCACTTGCAGAATGTTCCACTGCCATTGGTGCTTTTAGGGGATTGCGGTCTCATGCCAGTTTGCCCTGTTTTTTACATATGTAACTGGGTTGGCACAAAATATATTTTTAAAGGAGAAATTTAATGGATAGTTTCATGAGAATGACCACCAATACCCAAGAGTTGTATATTCACATTCTATGGTTAATGTTGTGTCTGTTATTCTTGTGTTAACAGTAAACTGTCTTCATATACAAACCTTTTACTTTGATATATCTGTAAACCTTATGACTCTTTGTAGGAGAAGACATCCAAATCAGCCTCTATGGAGAGTCTGCAGATATAAATGTTGGATTGGACAAGAACAATGTGATGGTGGAGAAAACCTACATCTCCTTGGCTAGCTACGAGAAAGTGGCAATAATGAACAAGAGTGATTCTATTGTGCATTACCAGTGGAAAAAATTTGCCACTGAGAATGAAGAGGAACGGGACAAATTAAGGTTTGGCAAATCAGCTTTGAGTCTTAGCTATAATTTGAGTTTTTCAAGTACTCTATTTGAAAATATGAAATCTTTGGAAATCTGAGGTGCATTTTTTAAAACTGAGATACAAGTGAAAGTCATTTTCTGTGGTAATGAATCATGACAGAATTTTTTTTATTTATTTTTTATTAACTGTTCTTTTAATATTATGAATGTGTAGGCATGTATTTCAGTCTGTCTTTGCCTCTGTCAATTTTTCTCTTTCTCTCTGTTGTTTTCTTTCCCCTTTTGTAGGCTTTCTTCAGAGCTGCATCAAGAAGATGATGAAATGGAGCAGTTTCTGACAGAAAACACTGATCCTTCTTTGCGAGCTCGTCTTTCACTGTTTTCCCATACGCTCCAGGAGGGACTGATGCAAACTCAGCAGCAGCTTTTGTCTTTGAATGACCAGGACATCATCATGAGGCCCCTGGTGTGTTGCTCAAAACTAGACACATGACACGCATTAGTATTTTAGATTTCAGTTTCCCCAATGCAATATTACATAACCAGCAATTAAATCTGAAACTTAGGATGTCCTCGTACCATATAACCATATGCCTAAACATATGGTGGAAACCAAACTTAGACATCACTCCACTCAGCCAAGCAATTTAAAAGATACTGAGCTTGTTTTTAATTAGTCAAAAGGGTTTGTCATGTGGGTGAGAGTTAAATATGATGTATTTAACTAAATGGTAGTTCTGATTCTGAATGAGTAGTTTTTAAGTTTTACTAATAACACTTTATTGCATCTGATTTTATTTCTTTGTACTGCATTCTGCATTGGTTATGCACCTAGTTATTGGTCATCTTATTGGTTTTGTGTCTTTGTGTTGCGTATCTGCAGTAGCTGCAGAATGTATGCAATGGTGCCAGCTGATTATGACAGATCTGCGTCTCGGAAGTCCCGCTCAGCACTTTGTTTTTTTCCAAATGGCCAATCACATAACCTTCAAAAGACACATCCAACAGTGTTCTGTGTTAATTCTGCCACCTCACTGTGACTTTGAGCCTCTTAAAGGCATGTACAGATGTACTGCTGATCCTGTTTTCCTCTGCATCTCACAATGTCCTTTATTTTTATGTGCATTTTATTTAAGACAGAGAAAGGTATAAGGATGGATACAATTGAAAATGATTCCCATTCTCCTCTGCTCTTTTTTTTAATTGTAATCCACTCTCACCTTGTCTGCTCATGCAAATGCAGCTTTTTCAAACCAGGACTATGCAGGCTTAGGCAAGAAAAGACAGAGACAATGCAAAACAAAACAGATCGGTATCCCCTCTGCTTGGATGTGAGCATCTGTTTACATGCAGTAGAGCTTGATTGCACCTGCTCAGTCAACTCTCTGTCAAGCACTGCCTGGTGACACAACATGCTGTTTGTTCACTAGTGATTTAGCAAAGATTTGTATCCAATGTAATTGGAAGGCCAACCCCACTGGAGCACCTTAATTGTAAGTGGCTTGCTCAAGAGCGCAGTGGTGATAGGAGACCTCGGTATCTCCCAAGTTTATTGATGCATCACTTGCTGGGATTATACCTGTGAAGTTTGGGTTCACAGGTCTGGCTATTAGGTTTTCACCACTATGTATGTGTTTACTGTCTCAGGGAGTAGTGTGGAGGTTTTTGGTCAGTTTTTACACATAATTTCTCCCATAATGATGCACTACTAAAAACTAAAACTATTAAACCATTTGTTTTTGGTAATTTGAATAAAAATGTAATTATATCAAATATTAATGTTATTTTAAGTTGTAAAAATATTTGACAAATATTACTCTTATTACTACATTTTTGATTAATGCAGCCCTGGTGAGCATAAGAGACTTCTTTCAAAGACATAAAAAAATACTTTTTAAAAATTTGAAAGGTTACAGCACAAAGACAGTAATACAGGTTTTACATTGCAGTTATACAACAAATAACATCTGTTTAAATGAATCAAAATCAATTTGTTGTGACTGAGGTACAATTATGTGTTCTCTCTGCTGATCTGACTGCTTTGTTTACAGAAGGGAGAAATCTGGCCCAACAGCACTGCAGAGGTGAACATCATCTTCAAACCACAGGAAGTCGGGATCTACCAACAGACTGTTTACTGTGAAATCACTGGTACTTACAGTAGCATCATGATAACAGATGTCGTGTTAAAATACATTGCTTTTTGCTGTTACAACTATGCTCATGCATGCTTGTATTGTTTTCTAACAATGCATTAGTATATTTGCATGTGGCGCTTAGGCCCATCTGCAGGTTTGCATTTATTTGCATGTTTGACTAAGGTCTAACAATATTCTGGTTGCTTGGAGTAGTATTGACCTAGAAAGTCAGACTGTTGATATTGAAGCCAGTGAAATTTCACAGCCTGTTTCATTATGCTAACCTGTCCTTTTTGTTTTCTCATTTGAATGCTCTGTACTTCCACAGGTCGTGAATCTCGGTTGCCACTCTGCATACAGGCAGAGGGTGTAGGCCCAAAATTGCAGTTCAACTTTTACTTTCTAGACATGGGAAACATTGTCATTGGCTCAAAACAGAGCTATAAGGTACAACTGAAGAAAACCATGTTGCTAAAAACAAAAAATTGAGATTAAATTACATTGCATCCCATTAAATCTTGTATTTAATAATGATTATTCAATAATTGAGCAGCTGCATGACACTAAAGGTGCAAATTGCAAAATGGGTCCATTCTGACACTAAACTTAACTAATTAAATGTTTTATATTGGAGTAAGTAAGTGCTACAGCTGAATGCAGTTTGTTAGTGTTATTGTCCCCTTTCTAACTTTCAGCACAGTCTAAAAGACAAAACCACTTAGCGTTACCTCTTCCAAATCATTACACGGACTAAAGCATGCAGCCATGGTGGGAGAAAAAATATTGATGTAACAGAAGAACCCTTCAAAAAATTGATTTGCTGTGAAGCCATAGCAAGCAGGATCTCACATCAAATTTAATCAGGATGTTGCTGACAATTTGCCAAGTGTAGCATGGACTCAACGGCAGTTTTAATTGAATAATAAAAGCCCCTTATTATTACTGAGTCTTGAAATAGACCAGTGTTTGGCTCAATTCGAATGCACTCAATTATGTAAACATTGTGGCTTTCCAATTCCTTTTGTTATTTGAGTTTTGCATGATCCCAATAATATAATTGTCCTGAAAGTTTTGGATTGTTTGTTTGAATCTGATTTGTTTCTGTGGGCCTCTTTTTGAGGTAGTATCCAAGTGTATGATTAAACAACGTAAACTGATCCCACTGGTGAAAGAATGAAACAATTGAAAGTCTGTGCAGGCAAATACAGACTCTCTTTCTTTTGTGTTATCTCTGTCTGTTTTCTCTTCCTCTTAGCTGCTTCTGACTAACAAGGGACTGATAAAGGGTGCTTATAAACTAGTGAAGCCCAGTACAGTGTTGGGTCTTTGCTTTTCCTTCAACCCTTCTGAAGGCGTGATCCCACCCGGAGCCTGCCAAACACTGGAGGTCCACTTCTCTTCTGACAAACTGGGTGTCTTCTCTGAGGAGTTACACTTCAGTGTGGTGGGAAACACTGAGCCTGTAATTGTCACTTTCAGGTAAACCTCATGGATTAACCCTTTAACTACTGTATGAACATGGCCTAATCAATGCTCATAGTTAAGGCCAAGACAAATATTCATTTTTTATTTTTGACTAATTAATATTTATTTTATTTTAATTAATATTTATTTATATTCCATTCTAAAAGTAAAATAGTTAATTTTGTATTTGGTTGTTAGTAATTTCTAAATGTGTTACCTTTGCTGTCCATGAGGAAAATCATTCATATTCATATTTAAAACCTACATGAAATTGCTCCCTAGAGGATTAGGTTTGTCTGTACACAGTATAATGGAAATATTTAAATATTTATAGTTTTAGGCATTTTAATCATTATCTTATCAGAAGAGACACTTGTTTTTCTTCATGCTAGACTCTATCGCTTTATCAAATTCTGTCATGAATGAATTATTATCTAAACATTTGAGGAAGTCAAATGTCTTGCTTGGTATCTGTTAAATGAACCTTTGTCTTAAATTGCTAATTTTCCACAACACTAGAACATTTCCTGCCAGTCCCCATTGCTTTCCATCGTTATGTACTAATGGCAGTTTTAAAACATTAACCCGACCGTGACATATGATAGATTGCCTGTCGCGTTCATACACATTCCACCCTGGTAGGCAACATACTATTAAAACATCACAGTAAAAACTTTTGATGTTACTTTGTGACCGTTAAAGAAAGTATCTTCTGTATGTCATGAGTGTGTGTTGTGTGAATGTAATCCAATACCATTTACAAATACTCTCCCGTGGCCTCCTGGGATAGAAAAGTGTCGATTGGATGCGCATTTCTGAATCTAGCCGGACGTTCTAGGTCCTCCATATACTGTTTTATGAATACTGTGATTTCGGACATACTACTATTTTTATATAATTTTTTCGCCAGAATGTCGGCATATTCAGATGCAGCCCAAGTACTGCTTAAGCTTAACCAGAGTTGATTTTTAATGCAATGCCGATATCCTTTGCCTGATGCAAGACTGACCCATATTTCACATCCCTTCCTTTAATCAATCGCCTATTATGACCATTAGCAAAAACCACCAATGTTTCTCCTTCACTCTTCGTTGTTTTAATCATTAGCTTATGGCTGATTAAATGAATCTGTACAGGCTGAACCTTAATTAAATGAACGAAGCAGAGCTCTGCTGAAATCTTTCAAACAAACTAGCACAAGCCACTTCCCCCTTGATTAAGATGGATTACCACCAAAAGTGCTGAATGTAGACATTCCAAAACTACCACTCTGCCTTGTCATTTAAAAACAATGGCACTCATTCCTTGGTCCACTGGATTTCACCTCAGCAGCCTATTAGTTTTGTATAATTACTTGTAGTGCTACATTTTCAATGGTCTTCATTCTTGGCAAGTAGCTTTTTTGAAAGTTTCTGCATCCCTTCATCTCTTGCAGGGGGTGTTTAATTGGGCCTACATTCCACTTCAGCGTCCCAGAGCTCAACTTTGGGGAGGTGTCCTTTGGTAAATGAACTTGCACTCTTCACTTCATTAGTCAGGATCAATGTTAGCGATTAATGCTTGTTTTGCATATTAGTTGTATAATCAAGAAGTCTTCTCTCACTGACCCAAGGGTTTCCACAAATGCTGACATGTCGCCTCAGCAACACTTCAGTGGTGCCCATGAGCTTTGGACTGCGGATCCCCGGAGATGGTACGGGACAGGCAAGCATTACCAGCACGGACCAGGTCGCTCAGCTGAATAGAAGTGAATGGGGACCGGGAGACAAAACCGAAAGGAGACCGAAAGAGTTTATCTTATCACCCAGCTCAGGCACAGTTCGTGCTATGTCTGAGATTGATATCCAGGTATTTTTGGTCTTTCTGATGCTAAGCCGAGCCGTCAACATATTATCTCACTGAATACCTCAAAGCGATTTGAATCAATTTCCCTATGCAAACCTGAAGTGACCCATCGAGACGATCCCTATGACCTGTCCGTGCCACAAACATCAACATTCTCTCCAGAGACTGAAACTTTGGTCTTTAAAACTAAGTGCAGCTTTAAACGTCCGTTCAGAGAAGACCTTTAATCCCTATTAAACCTCAGACAGGTGGACTTTTGAAAAAGGGCCTCTGTATTCCATTAATAGAAAAATGGGAGGTGGAATATATTGGAAAAAGTGATAAATGAGAATAGTAGCTCGTTCCTCTCTCTCACTCTCTCTCTCTAGGGCTGTGATTATCTCGCCCATTCTCCTTTCACTGGTTGCCAGGTACCTTGCGTACCTGTCATGTGGTGGTCTTTTCCCATCAATGGGAGCTGTCAGCACTTTGGAGGGCTAATCTGTTGGATGTGTCCGCCTGTCTTTGTGCTTCCAGTGAATGTGGGTGTCTCCTGTCAGTGTGCAAATGTGCCTCTCCCACTCTGTGACACGAGCGTGGCTCACCGTGCTCTAATGAGGCCTCAGCACAAGAATACATATTAGGGGCTTGTGGTTAGTCATATTAGTGGAATGGGATGATATTCTCAGATGCATCACGCAGCTGGCCGGCAGCCTCCCAGACATGTTAGCATAATAAAAGTATAGCTCCTGGAGAGTACTTTGCCGTTCTTCTCGGTGACAGTTGTCTGTGATCCCATATGTGCGGTTTCAGAGCACTTAAACACTGCAGGGAGAGGAATATTGCTATCTGAACGGTTTAGAATAACACAGTGATTTGTGAAGCACTAAATTTAGACAAGCAGCTGTTAAATCTGTTCAAAGCTGTTTTAATTGTGATTTAAACAATTATAGTTAAGTGGTTTTGTTTTATGATATGATGACTGAGGTATAAAATCTTATGAAGAATTTTAACTAGGCCCTACCTTTTAAAAGTTTGGGGTCAGTAAGATTGAATGAAGATGGAAAAGAAATTAATGCTTTTATTCAGCATGGATGCTTTAAATTGTTCAAAAGTGGCAGTAAAGACTTTTGTTACAAAAAAGGTCTAATTCAAATACATGCTGTTCTTTCTAATCATCAAAGAATCCTAATAAAAGTATCATTTCCACAAAAATATTAGGCAGGACAAATACAGAGTTCTGGCATGAAACTCTAGATGGTGCAGATAGGTCTAACTCACTCTGACCTAATGACATCATTATCACATGGCACAGCTGATTGGTTCTCTCCTGTATCGGTAGCCAATGAGCTCATTGCTCAACATTCAAATATATAACTAGTGCTTGCTGTAGCAGTTCACAGCGTGCTTCAGAAACCCTTCACCTTCCCCAGCTCCACCTGTATAGATCTGCTACAAGGTGATGCATTTATGCTATATGGGGGTTATTTCATGTATGTTATATTTGCAGCAGCAGTATTTCGTACATGCTCACAGCAGCATGTTGTGGATGTATTGGCAGTAGCAAGTCTAGGTACTTGCTCTGCCGCAGCAGCAGCAGCTCCGTAGCAGATCTAATCCGCCAAGACCAAATACATTAACATTGTCATATACATTACCATGCCAATCCGAGAGTTGTCATGACAGAACTGTTTTTAAAACTGCTGAAAAGGCAGCTTTGCCATCAGGAATAAATTACATTTTAAAATATATTAAAATATGAAGCAGTTGTTTTAAAATGTCAGTATTTCAAAATAATACTGTTTTTGCTGTATTTTTTAATAAATAAATGCAGCCTTGTTGAGTATAAGGCCCTGTCCCAAATGGAACACTTCATGTGTACTTGCGGTCTTATGGACTTACAATGGCCACCGCGTGCACATGTTCGTTAAGTCCACAAGACCGTAGGGTGTCCCATTCGTCATTTTAGTGTTCAGAAGGGTGCTTGCGAGCGTCCCCTTTGTGGCTGCTATGCGCTCCCGATACGCACTTCTGCCGAGCCCGCACAGGGGCGAGCTCCACAACAGACTTCTACCCGACAGTTAAAGCGTCATTTTGCACGAAAGTGTGGACTCAGAGGAAGACCGCGAGGGTTTAGGGTGCGATTTGGGACAGGGTCTAAGAGACCTCTTTCAAAAATCATACTAATCTTTGATTGTTTTGCAGTTAACCTTTTGCTCCAACACGGTGCAAGACTACACTATGGCTTTAGTGCTGGATGTTCAAAGTGTTGGAGAGGAAGTTTTGGCTCTCCCAATCAAAGCTAGGTAATATATACCGTTTTATAAAGAAATTAAGTGGTTTCCATTCACAAAACTTATATCTGAGTGTCCCTGTAGGTGTGTTGTGCCAGATGTGGTCCTCAAGAACCCGGTTCTTCAGTTCCAGGACTGTTTCCTGGGTCGTCCCTATGAGCAATCAGTTGAGCTCATCAATGATAGTGATCTTCCTGCTTGCTATGGACTTCTGCCTCAGGTGATTTCTGTAAAAGTTAGTGTGTTTTATATTGCAGGCCTTTCAAAGTTCTTAATCAGAAATTAGAGATACGTGTTTTGATTTTCATGCAAATGACACATTTCTGTTTCTCTGTGCAGCCATATGAGGAGAACCCCGCTCTTCTTTATTCAAGTCCTCATGCACGAGGGGTCATCCAGCCCTACAGCACAGAACAGATTCCATTAGTTCTACAGGCCAAGACAGTGGGCAGCCTGCAGGAAACGGCTCACATTGCTATACTAGGTCGCCAAGACCCACCGTTGGTGAGTGTATGCACATATTATATTTGTGTTTACTTTACTGTTCGAAAGTTTGTGGTCAATAAGATTATTTTTTTTGACAAAAGTTTTTTATGATCACCAAGGCTGCATTCATTTAATCAAAAATACAGTAAAAACAATAATATTGTGAAATATTATTACAATTCAAAATAACTGTTTTCTAATTCAACATATTTTTTAAATGTAATTTATTCCTGTGATGGCAAAGCTGAGCAACCATTACTCCAGTTTTCAGTGTCACATGACTCTTATAAAACAGATAGTTTGATTATGAATTTACAATTGCCGTTGTAAAATATTCTATAAATAATCACCATAGGCCACGGCTTCTTGGGGCTTATTGTTATATCCAGAAATCATTCTAATATGCTAATTTGGTGCTAAAGAAACATTTCTTATTATTATCAATGTTAAATGGTTGTGCCGCTTAATATTTTTGTGGAAACGGTGATACAGTTTTTCAGGACTCTTTTGAATGGATTCTTTAAATGTTCAAAAGAACAGCATTTATTTGAAACATATTTTGCAACATTTTAAATCACTTTACTCTCATCTTTAATTATTTTAATGCATCCTTGCTGAATAAGAGTATTAATTTCTTTCAAAAAAAAAAATGACTGCAAACTTTTGAATGTTTGCTATTACATGAGGTGCTGCGTTAAACAGCCTCCCTCTGTCTGTGCTAGTGCTGTCATCAATCATCAGCCGCTGTTTACATTAAAATGATTAAAATGGATAATTTCATGCGTACACAGCTTTTTCTCTTTGTCAGAGTTTATGTTCACTGTTAATAGATCTGGTAACATAGCAGTTTCCTACGCAGTGTTCGGTTTATGATTTTTTTTTTATCTCTATCAGTGGAACATCACAAATGGATTTTATTGCATTTTTGGCAAAAGAATTTCAGTGCATTGCTAGATATGTATTTCTTTTTTCTATAGGAGCTCCTGCTCTCCTGTGTTGGCCAGGGACCTTCTGTCTCTGTCACGGCTGCCAAGCTGAACTTTGGCTGCATTCCCGTGCTGACTGATGTCACAAGGACTTTGCAGCTGTCAAACGACTCCCCGATCCCAGCCAGATTCTTTGCTCAAATGGTGGGTTCTATTGCGACAGAAGGGACGAATCGCTTCAGTACTGTTTCTCTAGGGCCTAGTTTCCTCACCTGATGTCCATTCTGCTTTTTTCTTCCTATGAGTCCAGTATCATGATCTTCTCTCCATGTGTTGTGAATGATTTTAGATTAGATAAGACTTATATCACTACATGCCTTTTATAGATCCTAATTTCTCTTAATCTCCATTTTTCGTTTTGGCCGCTCTTTATATTAAATAAGCTTCTTAGATTCTCAGCACTGATAAATTTAGCATTAGGCTTTGTTTAATTAATCCCTGGAAGGATTGCATGCAACCACACACACACATACACGAAGAGACTTGGAAACATATATAGAAAAACTCATTCAGATATTCAGGGCATCATAGATTATGGGCTGACACTCATTGGTACACTGATCCTGTCTTCTCCTCCAAAGCTGAGGACTTTCATAAGCCCATAGTTTTTACCAAACATTTTCCAGCTTTAGTCAATCCTGAATTTCATTACAGGCGCTCGATAGCATGGCTGCGTGCCAGGCAGATGCTGACAAGAGTGCCATGTGAATTGAAAATACTCAAAATGCAGTCTTTCGCTGTTATGCGTCCATCTGTTCATATAGTTTCTGATAAACTAGTATTGTGAGTTTTTCGGAAAGATATGTCTCTCCTGAGACTGGCTCTTGGTTCCATTGTAAAACTCTACAGCACGATGAAGTTTAAAGCAATCAATGGTGTTAAACCGTCTGATGCAGGTCTGATCTTATTATTGAAATTTCAGCTGGCTTGTTCTTCACTTGATTCCCCTCTCAAGGGGAAATCGCCCCAATCTCGATCTAGCTCCCTATCGACCGGCTCGTCTATCTCTCTTCTCCTCCTCTATCTCTCTCCCACTTGCTTTGCCACTTCTCTTTCAAATGAAGACTTACGGAGTGATCTATGTCTCCCTGCTGACCTCCTTTAGTCCGGCGCAGTTCAAATAATAGGGCCCTCTCTCTTCCCTCTACCTGCTCAAAGGCGTTTCCTCCTTGCTGAATACTGAATTTGCAGTTTCCCTCTTCCAAGGGAAGACCTACTGCTGGTCATGACTTCGTTACAATTGGCTTGTCCTGGGACTAATCAGCAGAGAGTTTTTTTTTTAGTTTTTTTTAGTAAATTTAAACAAATACTATGACATGAGGTACACTATATTAGTGTATAAGCTTAAACTTAATCATAAATATTTTGCAATACATCCATGTACTGTGCAGGAATATGATTACATTATATCATGGGCTAATAGTTTGGCTGGTAAACATTGCCCCATTAGCTTCTGGTTCCAAAACATCTACTGTATTTCTGTGTTGATGGCTATTCAAAGGTGTTTGTATATAACGATTTATTTTTTTGTATTTTTAAGGAATGTTTATTTTTATAAATAGAAAAATTAAATATGAATATAAATTACAATTTTAATGTAAAATATAGAGGGCTTTTAAAAACAAAAATTCAGCTTTGCCATTACATGAATACATTTAAAAATATATTTAAATAGAAAAGTTGTTTTAAGTTGTAAGCATATTATATTTTTAATCAAATAAATGAAGCTTGAATATATTCAATATAAATTCAATATATTCATGATTATGCAACAATATGTTATAAATATTGTAGTGCTTATTTTGGAAATGAATATGTACAGTATGTGCGCAGTATGTATATCCACCTTATTTTGCTGCATGGAAGTAAGCTATTTCTATGAATAACTGAGGCTTCTGATTCATTAGCTGTTATATGTAAATAACTAGAATAATAACAAAATGCAGTAAACTGTAAAACTGCACTACAAACAAGTAGTTAATGTGTTTTTTATTATAATAAATGGAAATAATATGTAAACAAATACCTGTTTGCAGTATCAAGCAGCATAACGGGCTGTTTTTGTATAGCTAAAATATCTGGACGCAGATGACACTAGTAGCCTTGCACAGTCAAGTTACAAATGGCTGTGCCTGCTCTTACGTTAAAAAAGGTTGATACATTAAATATATTTCAAAGGGCTTCTCATATAAAGTGCTGCCAAAATCTCTGATGGTCAGTATATTTCTCCAGAATTATTCATGGGGCTCTGCACAGTTGAGTGAATGTGAGATATGAGTAAGGCTCCTCCTGATCAGTCTCTAACACACTTTCTGCCTCACAAACACACTTTGCCACACACAAATATATAGGTCCTGCATGCCTCAGAATCCATATCAGTTTGAGGAGTTGGTTATAAAAAAGTTAGCTGCCAATTAATCTACGTGAGATGTTTACACAGTTTTCTGGAACACTTGATTCTGATTGGACAGTTACATTCTGTGGTCAAAATTTTATTTTCTGCTAAATTGACTATTGTCATTTCAACTCAATATTCCATGCCTTTTTATTATTTATGTAAAAAGTGGGATAATGTACATTCAGATATGTATTAATGTATTAGATTGTGCACACTGAAACAGGAAATACTGTACTCTACCTTCAATTTCCTCTCTACAGTCTGCTCACTTAGTTTTTTCCTATGAGGACTATAAAAGGAGAGAGTAATGGGAATGATGATAAATGTGCCAAAAGCTATACTCAGCCATCAGGATGAGCCACACTCTTAAGATAAATAAAACGCTATTAATCAGAATCCCTTAACACACCAACTCCCAGGTTCTCTTTGCTCAGTCAGAAAATCCCAATTAAAAGTTAATGCGCAGGACATCAATCATTTGGCCGCATTATGAAAATTGATTTGAATCCTCCGCCAACAGTTATGAAAAGCAGTGGTACAAATTAAGCAGCTGGTGAGGTGCACTTTTGCATGCAAAGACGAGCTTGCACTTTTTCTCATTGGTGTATTTCTTGTTATGAGAAAATGAAAGGAAATAATGAAAGTAGGGAGAAAAAGTAGGCCAGAGAGGAGGCGCTTCACATCTGGGGGTTGAATAAGGAAAAAACTGCTTATATGCATATCCTCCATGTCAATACCCCAGTACAGAGCAGATGTCAGACACTTGGGTGAGTTGAAGCATAAACAGTGTCCATTCATTAGCCATTCAGTACTCATCATTATAGAACTGATTCATGATCACAATTCCTTTATACTATTGCCAGTATTTCCTATTCCCTTCAGATAAAAAGAATCCTGCTGGCAGGACATATAGACGCACATATGTACACGTTATCGCTACATGGATGCTCATTTAAATCTCTGTTCAATTACAAGACTGAGATAAGATTTTGCTGAGCGGTTTGCATTTGACTGGCATTTACTTGTGTTTGAGCCAACCGGGAGGGAATGATCATTAATATTTCTCATTCCCCACTAGAAAACTCATCCACTGTGGGATCATTTCCCCTGAACATTACATAAGACACAGAAGAATCAGTCCACACACATAAGGGAGTTTACCATTGTTTTGTGTATGCGATTGTTTTGTTCTTGTGCCCTGTGTTGGACTATATATTGTATGAAGTAATGGATGCTTTAGTGTCTCATTGCTGTTTATTAATTCAAATTATTCCTAGCTAGGTGTTTTTTATTTTAATAGTAAGATTGGGTAGTTAAACTTTTTACTTTTAATTTTTGCTGTTTTCTAGTTTTTAAATATAGCTGGTTATTCCTGGTCACAATTGTAATAAATGGGAAAGTACAGATTTTAATTTGCTTAGTTCCTCAGTAAGAATAAATTACCAATATACTACCATTCAATGGTTTGGGGTCAGTAAGTTTTTTTTTTTAGTAATACTTTCATTCAGCATGGACACATTGATCAAAAGTGACAGTAAATACTTTCACATTGTTAAAAAAAATCTACATATAAGATATCTAAGATAAGATATATGAATATCAGCATATTCTAATGATTTCTAAAGGATCATGTGACACTGAAGACTGGAGTTATGGCTACTGAAAATTCAACTTTGCCATCACATTAATAAATTCTATTTTAAAATAATAGATTACTGTTTTCACTGTATTTTTGATCAAATAAATGCAGCCTTGATTAGCATTAAAAAGTGGGGCTATATGTTTTTTCACTAGCCCTAATTGTAACCACTTATATGTATACTGTAGTTTACATGTCTAGTAAGCAAGATTTAAATTAGCAAGAGTAATGCTATTAATAGGTTTTTAAAACATTATATGTAAAGAATTATTAGAATGTTTCAATGTTTATTATCCTTTTTTATTGTCATATGTTCAAAACTTCACTATGGAATTAGTGATTTTGTGCTATACCATGTATATGTATGTTGATAGGTGAAGAACAGGTCTCACTGGTGTGTGGATCCCCCTGAAGGGGAAATTCTTCCAGAGCAGAGTTTGGAATTGAAGTTGATAGCCCACCTGAATGACACCTTGCCCTTCCAGGATGAGCTTTTACTAGAAATCCAGGATGGACAGACCTTTAACATTCCTGTGTGGGCCAAAGGAAAGGGCACCACCATAGTCACTGACCGGCCATTTGCTCCTAACCTGGATTTGGGAACTCACTTCAGGTAAAACAACCAATCACATGCAGATGTCCTTGAGTTTAACAATAACATGTGTCCTCTATTCACAAAACTTCATAGTTGTTCTGATCTTCCAGTTCCGTCCCATGTCAGTACGCCTTCAGAATCACCAATCGAGGACGTCGCACTCACCAAATATTATGGACCACAGAGGGGTTTCCACAGCTTCCTAATAGAGAACTTCTGTCACCTAACAAGTCTAGGAACAAGAAAAGCAAGAGTCTAACTTCAGTTCAAGAAGGCCCACTTTTACGCTTATCCCCTGCACGTTTATCACTTGCTCCTGGCCATTCAGCTGATATGCTGCTTGAGGGCTCCTCTGACGTTCCCAAGGTATCTATATCTAGGACTACATTCTTCGCAACAATTTTAAATATGTTAGCCAAAAGTAGTTCACAATCGGCTGAAGTTTGAATACTACAGTGATGAAGGCCCTGAAAGCCACACTTAATCCTCTTTTAGTCAAGATGCACAGAGCTGTGTATTGACTTCCTCTCTAGAGCATTACAGAGATGCATGCCTCCTTGAGTCCTTATTGATTTAATGGTAAATTAGAGATGAGAGAAGGTGAGAAGTGAATATAGGCCTGCCCTGCTGCATCCCACGCCAGGATGCTGCTTTGCATAGCCATCAGTCGGTCAGCTGTCAGTGTGCCGGCACTCAGGCATCATAGAGAAGGGTTCTGTTTTAGTGCATTTCTGACAAGGCCGAGCAGGCTTTTTAAGGTGCCCCTATTATGGATTTTTGAGAATTACCTTTCATGCAGTGCGTAACTCAGCTCTAAGTGAATGAAAACATCCTGCAAAGTTTTAAATCTGAAAGTGCACCGTGTATAAAGTTATTGTCTCTCAAAAGAAAGAGTCGACTCTAAATAATTGAAACGAGACATTTTTAAAACGAATCCCAAGCCGTATCATGTTGACGTCAACATGAAACATTAGCATATTGCCCGCCCACTTGTTGGCCTTTTCGCCTTGGTCTGAATGAAAATGCAAAGTCATTCTGTGCCACTAGGTGCTGCTTAAAAAAAAGCTGTTTCCCCGGTAACGCTGTACACAAAGCAGCACTGCGCTCACAAACGCTGCTTTATCAGGCATTACAGGTGTGATGAAAAGAAATCGACCAATCGGATCAATCACCACAGATTGGCGTCACGCAAAGGAGGGGTTTGGAAAAATGAATCGTTGAGCAAATCGTTTGGGAGTTATTGAGCAAGTAACATAAAAATAAATGCATATTATAAGACAATGAAAGTGTTTTTTGACCTTGCATGCATGTCAACCTGTTGTTGGGGACTCCCAAAACCAAAATATGAACCTTTCATTACCCATAATAGGGGCACTTTAAAAATGATACTTTCAAAGATGATTCACATCCATTCATAAATTGAGAATATGAAAAGGATCTCTTTTGTGTATACATATGATGTGTTTTTAAATGTGTGTGTTTATGAATTGCAGGTGGTTACAGAGAAACTGTTATGCTATGCTGTTGTCGGGCGTCAGTATGTGAGAGAGTGCATCATGTCTGCAGACGTCACATGCCAATTTGTCTCCCCAGCAGTAGACATCTCCTCACAACAAATCAATTTCTATGTGGAAAAGGTTTGCAAAAAGCTCTTGCTACCATCAAGTGTTATTATAGTTTATAACTTAAATGCATTTATTTATGTTTTAACTGTAGATATTTTTTGTTGTTTTTCAATTATTTCATATTTTTATTTTTTTTAGTTTATTCAGTTTTTCAGGGGTGCCAAGGTTAATCTGCTAACTGGTGTCATAAATGCTTAATGCTCTGAAATTTCTCAGCAGTCTGATGTTATTTAGTTGCATTTTAATGTTTAATGCAGATGAGTTGTAAAGGTTTTAACTTTTGTATTAAATTAATTTGTCTATTTTTATTTCATTTTCTATATTATTTTAATAATTTTATATATTAAAGAGATAGTTCACCCCAAAATGTATTCACCCTCTTGTCTTTCCAAACCTGTATGACTTTCTTTCTTCTGTGGAAAGAAGATATTCTGAGAAATGTGTTTTTTTTCCCCATTCAATGGAAGTCAGTGGTCACCAAAACCATTTCAAACATTCTTCAAAATATCGTCTTTTGTTTTCTGCAGAAGAAAGAAAGTCATACACGTTTGGAATGACATGAGAGTTAATAAATGATGACAGATTTTTCAGTTTTGGGTGAAGTGTCCCTTTAATTACTCATTTTATCAATATTGTATTGCTTGTGTATGTTAAATGTCAGGTCCATTATCTGTGCCGCAGCACAGTGGCTGTACATGTACCCTTTATCAAATGTCCATTCACTTTTTAAGAAGTACGAGATGCTTTCCTTACTGCTGGAAAGATAGTTTGCAGTGTGTGGTTAGATAGAGGCAATTAACTGCTCCCTTGTACAGGAATTAAGCCTAATTTATGAATGGTATAGAAGAGATATCTATCGTCTGTTCATCCAGTCAGCCAATTTCGATTAATTTGTAAGTCACTTGACTGCATAAAGACAAGATTGAGGCATAGGCTAATGTCATGGTCTATTGGAATTGAAAATAGATGGCTGCCCCTAATATTGACAGTAAAGACCATGCAGTTGTTATGTGGACTCATTCAAATGAGCCGTCCAAATTTACTTCTCATTGGCAAAATGATTGTAAGCTGAGGTGGCAAATTAATTTTAACCCCAGCCCACAGCTCAGCATTGGCATCTCAGGTCCTCTTCTGTTTTTAAAAAAAGCTGTAGAATAAGCACAGTGAGCTCAGGGGGAACCATCATTATAATGAAAATGATTTTCTGTCTGCATAATTTCACTTTTATTATCTCTCTTTCAACACACACACACGCACACATTTTCACACACAACACCATCCCCCTTGTCAGATTCCTGTTTTTTTTGCTGCAGCCATACATATGTTCATACACTTCTTATATCTTCTGACAGCTGCTTTCAGGCGCCTTGCAAGTCTGCATCTTAGAACTAAAAATGCAAATTTATTTCAGTGGCATTCTTTTTATCTGATTCTGTCCCATTCGTCCATGTTTTGACAGCCCGTGCTGCTAGATTTACTGAATGCTCCCTTAGTAGAGCTTGGAGGAATAAAGCAATTAAAGAGAGCGAGTAGGGAATGGAGAGAGAGAGATGAGAGGAAAGTGGAGGAAGAGGGAAACCAAGAGAGTAGGGGAGAGTGAAATTTGCATTTTAAGTATCGACAGTAAAATTGCACAAATAACTGGTAGTTGTGCTTGAAAATTATATTGTGTCTTAATAGCATTAATAATAGCTGCTCTCAATATTACTTCCTCCACACCTACCACTGTAGTTTCAGAAATTCTCAGTCTTGAACTGAGACACATTTTCAGTCCCTATGAAAGATTATACAGTACTTAGTAGGGTCACAGTAAATGTGTACATACACACACACACACACTAATCCCGTAGTATATTGTGTTTTATTGGTTTTGCTTTATATGTTGTTTTTCCAATATATTTGTCTAACTCACAGGCTCCAGATGTGTCTCTGCTTCCATTGTATCAGAGGCTGGTACTGAAGAGCTTGTCCTCCTTAAACCTCTCCATGGAACTGACCCTGCGTGAGCCTTTTGGATTGTGTGATTATGACGGGGATGAACTGTATACAACCTCAAAGGTAAACAGGTGGAGTTTAGTTGCTGTTTATATACCAGTAATGGCAGTGTAATTAATGGGGTCCATTAATTTTTTCTTCCAAAAAGCAAAAAAACTAAATAAATAATCTTATATAAATAAATATTTTTATTTTATCCTATTGTTGCACATCTTTGCATGCAAGTGTGCAGGTAAGATTTCAATGCTTTCCATTACCTTGACCTGAGCATTTGAATTTTTGGTCTTTTTTCTAGAGTCTGGTGCTGGCTGTCGGAGCTCAAAAAGAGCTATGGGTGCGTTTCAACCCCATGTATCGACAGGACCATGTCACCCGTATGGTTGAGGATGTGCTGGAGTTCTGCTACCACAGCCACCCTCAGCAGGACAGGGTAGTGCTGAGGAGTGAGGTCCACTTCCCTAATCTCGTGTTCTCAAGCACCACATTGGACTTTGGCTGCATTCTCAACAACACAAAATCCCGCCGCAAGCTCACCATGACCAACTGCAGCCCACTCTCTATTTCCTACCGATGGGCCTTCCTTGTAGATCGACAGCATTGCCATATAGGGTAGGATTTGAAGTTCAAATTCTAATATAAACCCTAAAGGGATAGTTCACCCAGAATTGAAAATATGTCACAATATACACACCTTCCTGACTTATTTTCTTCTGAGGAACACAAAACAAGATATTTTGAAGAATATTTTGTCCATACAATCAGACCCCAGTGACTTTCATTGTATGGACATAAAATCACTGGGACATTTTTCAAAATTTTGTCTGAATGCAAAGTGATCTAGTTTGTAGTCCTTTAAGCATAAACTAAAATGGTTAGAAGCACAGGGACACCTCTCTGCAGAGTAAACTTGGCTGTGCTGTGCTTTAATTCCAAGCCAGTGCATTTTTAATATAGCCTGTCGCAGGAAAGGGGACAGAGCGTATGGACTTAACGCTGATATTTAGCAATTCAAAAGCTGCATAAGGGACTTCTTGAGAGAAATGTTCAAGGAGTATTGATTTTCTGTTGACAATCAATAACAACAAAAAATAAATAAATAAATTGGGGGGAATTAAACGACTCCCAAAAAAGCCCCAAAAGATTAAGCAATCAATGTTTTAATTCAGCACTCAGCTGTTAAATACGGACAGATGTCCAGTCAAGCCTTCCAAGCCCTGTGAGGAAATGCAGTAACTTACTATAACTGAATAAACGGGTGATGATGGTATGGCAGCTCACACTGCTGATGGAAGTGAGTAGTGGAGAAGCATGTGATTAAATAATGGATCATCAGCATTTACAGTCTCTGTGGTGTTCAAATGCAGCACCTTACAATAACAGTCAAACATTTGATCTCGTGTTCTAAAATAGAGCATTCAGTGCCATGTAGTGGAGCAATTATAGAAACCGAGTAAGTGTTTAGATTACAACCAGTGTTCACTTTATATTAAAATGTAAATAATTAAATATCAAGTAATAAAAATGTAACTAATTTAATAAATATTTTTACTGCATTTATATAATCATATTTCTTTTTATGAAGATTTAGTTCATATTTCATGTCATATTAAATAATTTTAGTTTATTTTACTCTAAAATGGCATCTAATTTTAATCAGTGAAAATAACATTTTATTTTAAGTGCAAAATGAAACCAATTATTCAAACATTATTATATAATAATTTAAGCAAGTATCATCATTTAACACAAACATGTTAAAACCGTTTTTGCTTTTTAGTGCGTTTTTGCAAATAGTATATCCAAATGAGGCAAAAAAATTCTGACAAGCTAATCCAGTGTCATAAGAAAATGTATTTAACCAGGTGATGATTTCATATGAATTTGTACAATGTGATTCATATGGTAATGTATGACTTTTAGAAAAGTTCCTTGTTATTATGAAGGTCCACCCCTAAACCTAAATGTCTGTGGGGTGTAAGCAGATCACACGAAATTAAGTTCCAAACATAGGTTCGGAAGGAGCCTAATCATTCAGTCCTGTCAATCATCATTATGAGCCTATGTAAGCAGCTCTCATTGCTCCGTTTCAGCGTCAATTTTTCTGGCAGCCCTCCACCTCCCCATCTCCTACTCTATTTGTTTTTGTCCCTCTAGATTGTACCACAATGGGGGGGTTCGAGCCTCCATTAAGGACAGCAAGCCAAGTTTGTTTACCATTAATGATCAGGACTGGAGGGGCAGGCAAACTCGTGAAAATTCATAAAAAATTATCCACCAACTCGCCAAAACGACTAGCAGATAGATCAATTTCACTCAATTTCATTCAGTTTCACTTGTGTATTTACATAATTTTGTACAGATGCAGTTGTAGTATTATGTTCATGTTGTGTAAATATCTGACTAATCTTAAATATAGGATGCGTTAGAATGAATTAATTCAGTTTACTGGTGTTCATTCACTGTTCAGATTCAGCTCACACTGTTTAAGCGGGACAATCCTTGACATTGCTGATTCTGATTGCATTATTTGAAATAATCAAATAATGCAATTGGAAACAACATCAAGACATTGTTAGTGAATTGTTTAAATCTTGTGGTTTTAATTTCTCCCATTGTATTTTTTGTTACATTTGACAGGATGTTTGAATTAAATCCATTTAATTATTGCAGTCACGTGCATTTTTTTTTTTCTTGTCTCAAAGTCAAATATATCCAACACCCTCTCAGCTTTACACACATGCTTATGGTTTCCTGTTTAAAAAATAAAAATTGCTTGCACAAAGCTTTATTTTAAATCTCGGCTGTCGATAACTTTGGGTTGAGTTTTTATAGTTTTAAATTGTTGTTTAGTGGCTGCCATGTCCTGCGTCGGATTAATCGATAAGCCTCCGTGGGGCTACAGTGCAAGCCAGTGAAGATTAATCACTTTCTGTTATTCGCTTCCCACCTCCTGCATGATCCAATAAGACTATGACCTTTCCTATCAATATCACAAGGGTTTCAGCATGCATTGTCCAGCCTGCTAATTAAAAGCCTATCAGTAATTAAAACCAAGAGCGAAGCCAGTATTATTGCACCACTTCGTTGATCCATTTGGGCTCCCGACACATAGCGGATTTCTTGCTGATGGACCGTTTTTTTTTGTGGTGTCTGTGGCTGATATGAGACTGATTATTTTTTCCTTCTTTTCTGGTAGGTTTTTTGATGAGACCAGTCAAGGGACTGACGGAGACGCTGGGGGGAAAAGAAAGGAGAGCGGGGAGGCGCAGTGGGAGCTGTTAGAGCAGAAAGAAGCTGACGGCAAGACGGACACAAACAGGTCTGAGAACAGCTTCTGTGTGAGACTAGAGGCTGACAACTCCCTGAAGCTTCTCTGATAATAAGCAGGAATGATGAGGATACATATAAAGTGGGATGTTTACCCGAATCTCATCATGTTAGCAGACCTTTGAGTATTACCTCACCTCCTCACTGGTTCTCCATGTTGATAATGAGAGTACGGAGCGTAGCCTCCTACAGAATCATTTGAGTACTCAAGAGCACCCATCACGTATGCACTCATATCGAAGAGGGCAAGTAAATGTGAGGCGTTATCTGCATTTGTTGAGTGTAGCGAGTGTGTCTGGCAGCACATGTCTCTTGAGAGACTTTGAGAACACCTGCACCAGAATTCCCTAGCATCTAAAACACTCTCTACACTGTCATTTGTTCCGTGCTCTCAGCCTGGTTCACAGAGATGTTGGTTGGAGCTACTTGTTCACACACACATATTAAAACAAACAGCATTCAAGCACAAAAGCCAACGTACATTTTCAGATGGATTTTAGAGGAATACAATTTTTTTCTAGATATGGCTGGTGTTTTCAATTTCCAGGGGTCCTGTGGAGCTTATTCATTATCTGTACTAAGTAATCACCTCCTGGCTTATGGAGGAAAAAAGAAAAGAAAGATAGATTTTTTGATTAACACTGCCCCCTGCTGACTCCATTTATAATAACACCCATTGTTACAACCTGCCCACCTTCCATACAACTTTCCGTCTGAATAGTTTTTACAAGATATTTGATTTGCTTTTTTTTGCCGAAAGTGAAATATTATGACACTGATTCCATCAAAGCTTATTCTGAGTGAGTGTGGTTCTTATTATATTCTTTTCCCTTTCTTTAAAGCCTGAGACTTCCCATGTGAACATTTCTTCTGATAAATTACATCCATTCAATTATTCAATGCTTTCTGTAATTAATGGCCGTCTTGACAGACCCAATTTGGTTTCCGTCTGACCCTTTAGGCGGAATGAAAACGTGATGTAAGAGAGATGGAGATCTGGAACCCCTAATAATGTTTCATTGTTTATGTTTTTGCAGGGAGGCTGACATAATCATACCTCAATTGGAAGAGGATGAATTGCATCACGGAAGCTCCAACGGACAGGAGCAGAATAGGAACTACTCGACACAAAGGCCATTGAGCACAGAGCTGGGAAGCAAACCTATCAGTCTCACAGCCACTGAGCATCCGAGTGTAGGTGTGAAAGAGGTTGGTATAACCTTGCGTCTGTCTCCTTATGTTGACATAGGCTGTTTCTGAAAGCTTAGGCATGACTTTGCAGGCAGTGTTTGTGCACAAAGGCATCTCCCAAAACTTATTCAGGACAGATTTCTGAGACAGCTTGATAGTTTAATGATCTACAACAAAATCAAATGCACAGGATATAGTGGGATATAACAGGATACACCTACGCTGCCTTCAGAAATTGGTCAAAAGAAGGTAACTCAGTAGACAGGATGTGGCACAGTGAATGGATTCAGATATGCCTTGTTGCCTTCTTACATCCAGATGATGCCTGAGGAGGCAGAATTTTTCAGCTTTCGCATGGAGCAATATTCTCGAAACCATATGATGTATCGTACAGTTTGAATTGCCTCTTTTTCATGCAATACGATTATACTCATCTATTTCGTAGGTGTTTGATATCTCATCACTGTATGGGGAACTACAGCCTGGTGACACCAAGCTGGTGACCTTCTCGTTTCTCGGCCACGCTGACATCAGCACGCATGTGTTGGCATTGTGTGAGGTGGAAGGAGGGCCCACCTATGAGATCACACTCAAGGGTCAGGCTTCCTTTGTTTCATATATGCTGGACACAAACGTCATTGACTATGGTTTACAGGTAACTACACACTTTCACCATAATAGCAATAGGATCATTTCAGCAGTGATGTGTATAAATGGAAAATTTCCTTCTGTTTTGTTTCCTATAATTACAGTTGTTTGACCATGTGGCGGAAGCAGAGATCACTCTGAAAAACACAGGGAAAGTTGGCTTTGATTTCTCTACTCTAACTGGAGAACAAGGACTCTTTGCAGAGCAACCCTTGCCTGGTCAGCCTCTCATCGTCCCCAGCAAGGTGAGATGTTCTTCATGTTTTAATACACTGATGACTTCATCCATTGCGTATCAAATTTGTGGCATCAAGTGTCATGGTTGTGTTTCTTTTGAAGGGTCACCTAGAGCCGTATGCAGAAATCAGGCTCAGTGTATATTACCTCCCAGGGATCCCAGAAGTCTTTCACAAGACCTTTCAGTTGCAAGTGGCCTTCTATGAGGCCGAGAACATTACTGTAAGAGGAGAGGGTATTTTCCCTCGACTATGTCTGGACCTGCCTAGAGACCTGAGTAAGTTTCTGTCCACAGTTTTCACAACCAGCACAACTGTTTTTAACATGTTTTAATAATGAGAAGTGATTATTGAGCAGCAAATCAGCATATTAGAATGATTTCTGAAGTATCATTTGACACTGATGACTGAAGTAATGGCTGCTGAAACTTAAAAAAAAAAAAATTACATTTTAAAAATATTAAAATTGAAAATAGTAATTTATTATTTTGAATAGTAATAATATTTCACAATATTACTGTCTTACTGAAACAAATTTACCAACTCCAAACTGTTGGTAGTGTATGTAGAGATCTGAACACGAATTAAACTTTTTGATAATCATTATTTATACCTCAAATTGCACGGCTTGTTGAGGACAGGTGTGCTCTTGGGGAATGTTCACACAAAATGTGTTTTTGTTTGCACTTGCACTGCTTTTTAATTATTTTTTGGTGTAAAAATTTGCTAGACAGACGTCTTTGCACCTTGTCTCACAGCCTTTTTTTAGCGTCTTGCACCTGAGCATCAAGTATTAAGATGTGTTTTTAAGAAGTTCAACATTTGACATGCAGCACAGTTAATCATTTCCATTTTCAAAGCAGTGGACCAATCAGAAGAAACTAGGTGGGGCAAGCATCATAAGCATGTATTTGCGGTAGCAAATTAATATGTATGAATATGTATTTTTTTTAAAGTAACTTTCATTTAGTTGTTTGGCTATTCAGGGCTCTACGCTTATTTTTCTTTTTAGGAGCGCTTGTGCTCCTAACTTAAAAAATGTAGGAGCACAGTCAAAAATTTAGGAGCACCAAAATTTGATAAAAAAATAGCCTTCCCATTACGAGGTGATATTTGACTCCGTAAAGTGATTTACAGTAGAATTTTGTTTTTACCTTTGTAATGACATTTTTCTATCTTTATTAAAAGTATGTCATCTTTTATGTCAAATTTTGTAACATTTTTATTTTATAAGCTTTTTAAAAATTCTAGATAAAACCATAGAATAAGAACAAGTAGAATAAGAAGAATAAGTTACTAATCAAATGAAATCAGTATTAAAATTAATCTGTACAGAGGTAGCACAGAAGAACACAAAAGTGGCTTGTAGGTGTATTTTCAGACATTTAATGAGGATCAGAGGTGGCATGAGTGCAATTAAATCCATAAATTCATGTTAAGATTAATGTTTTAAAAAATGTTGAATATAGAAATATTAAATGATTTAAAGAACTGAAAAGATACTTTAAAAATGAAACTAAATCCGCCAGCAGGTGGCGACAAGTCACTGATTTTATCACTGAATCATTCATTCAATTGATTCATTCGAACGGCTGATTCATTCAGGAATGAAGCAAGTGACAGTATTTATGAATGGGTAATCATGAATCACAGACTCACTAGGTTCGTTTAAAAACGCAGTTCATTCATAAACGAAACACCGCTGTGTTTGAATGGAGATGCGCAGCGGCTGAGCTGTGACTTTGTTTCAAACTATTTTCCACGACGAAATAGAGCAAAATCAGACAATAGTGTTATAGTCAGACAATGTAAGTCACTTAATATTAACGTCTTGTCTATTTAACTGTTGTATTAAATCAGTATCACATTTACAAACTCCCTTAAAAATCATTAAAAGCTGTCACTCATCTTAGCTCATCGCGATCTCACATTTATAATCAACGAAACTCTCTACACTGCACAATGAATCTTTTATTTACACCATCTACACTTTGCTTATGAAAGGATTCATGAGATATGTCTGTGATACATTACTCAACGCTACAAAAACACATAGAAACCTTTGAAGCTCCCCTCAGTGATCACAATCACAAGTATGATGAAGATCTGGTCAGTCGCACTGGTGCTCCTAAACATTTTTTCATAGTCGCACGCAGTAGGTTTCAGTCGCAAATGCGACTGAAATGGTCGCACTGTAGAGCCCTGCTATTTCTAAAACATTCTGATATCTGTTTTTACCGGAGCCCGTCTCAAGACTCCTCATTTCTGTGCTGTGCTTTTTGGACTTGTCATTTTCACTTGGTTGATCCCAACTCTCAAGATCAAAAGGAATTTTAAGGTCGGCACTATTAGCCTTGTAGTTAGTACACCGACATGTAGCGTAACTGCGCCTCCGGCGACCCGAGTTCGATTCCCAACTCGTGGTCCTTTGCCGATCCTGCTCCCCCTCTCTCTGCCCTATGCTTTCCTGTCGTATCTCCACTGTCCTACCAACAATAAAGCCATAAAAGCCCCAAAGACATAACTTAAAAAAAAAAAGGAATTTTAAGTAAGAGTTTAGACTTACAAAACAAAAAAGTATAGCCATTAAGTGATTGGCCAAGTCAGACACAATACATCTTCATATGATCTAATTAATCGAACCTTATAAATGAATTAGCCATTCTGAGGCCAACAGCTCTTCACAAAATTGTTGAACACATTGAAAATTTCAGACAGGATGTTTTAAATCCCTGAATATGATCCAACTTTCACTCTCATCAAATACTCTTGAATGGAGTCCAGTCCTTCGTCCTGGCTCACCTAACCTTTAATCAAACACAGTTGCACCGTGCCAGATTGCAGACAGACGTAATGGTCTTCTTGACCTTGAACTAGCTCACACTCTGCGCTAGAGCTGTTCAAATCCATTTTCCTCTCTGATCTGCAGCCAGCCTGAAGGAGTGCTATTTATCTCAGAAACAAGCAGTTTTGCTCTCAGTGGGAACTGAGGTCTTGTGGTTATAGAGCAAATAGTGCAACTATTACTAAGGAGAGGAATACTGTGTTGCTTTCTGATTACCTATTGATTGGATTCTTTGCATTACTAACACAGGCAGTTTGTAGTAAAGAGTGAAGAAATTGCAGGCTTTGTTGCTCAAGAGATATTTTTACATTATAAGGTCAATACTTTGACTACAAGGCCTATAAAAAGAGATTGTTGAATCAGTAATCGCAAGCAGTGAGTAGACTCAGATTAAATAGAAAATTATGATTTGAACTAAAATACATGGCTGTTGTACTCAAATCTCAATCAAAATCTTTTCTGAATAAGGCTTATCAGAAGAGGCTATGCAATGTTTCTGTTTCCTGGCTAGATGAGGAGATATATGGTTCTTTGCTAAAGGAGGCAAAAGACTCGGTGGCAAATGAAAACTCAAGGGAGGGGGTGTTGAGCAGGCTGGTCACAGTAAAGGAGGAGATGCCACCAGAAGAAGACTACATTCCTACTGTGAGTCTGTCTGTGATAATTGCATGTTATGTCTTCCTCTTCCTAGCTTTATGTAATCCATCAAACTCCAATGAGAATAGCCATTATTGCAGCTTTGTATATACATTTTTGTGTGTACTATAATATATACTGTATGTATGTCGTAGTATGATGCCCTGCTGCAGATGGAGTTAGAACGACTCCTTGTAAAGCTTTATGTAATCCATCAAACTCCAATGAGAATAGCCATTATTGCAGCTTTGTATATACATTTTTGTGTGTACTATAATATATATGTATGTATGTCATAGTATGATGCCCTGCTGCAGATGGAGTTAGAACGACTCCTTGTAAAGGAAAATGCCATGGCTGTACAGAAACAACACCAACACGCAGATCAAAGAGGATCTGGGTCCACTAACAACTGGCTCAAGAAGCTGTGCAAGTAAGTCCATTCATGTAGAAACCTCTCATTTTTACAAGCAATCAAAGCACATGTCTGATGGACCTTCTCTTTAGGTTAAGCTTGCCTGAGTACACACTGGACTTTGGCTATGTCAACAATGGCAGCATCGTGACCCACATTGTCAAAATAACCAACACTTGTCCAGTTGCTGTATCTTTCAGAGCTGACAGGAGCTCACTGGCAGGCACAGGTTGGTGCTTTCCACAGAATGGTCAGTAGATTTAGATTTCAGCAACAGATCTTGTTTAAATCGGTGTCAATCTCCGTGATGTGTTTAGATTGTTTACGACGCTTGTGGTTTGATGTAAAGTTGAGCTTCTCCTCTTAGTGTTGTTATTCCAGAATGAATCATTTGAAATTTCATTCTGCATAGCTTTTTTTATTCACTGCATAAATATAAATTTTTATTCTGCTCAGGGTTTAGTACAGAATTGGACAGGGTGCAGAATTTGCCCTTCTGCGAGACAGAGACGTTTGAGTTGAAGTTTGATGCCTGTGGGGCCAATCTGGGAAAGATCGATGCAGTTATGCCCATACAGGTTTGGTGAAAACGACATTAAATATCTGAGACAAGCAAAGAAATGCTGGATGAAGATGAAATATTGACTTTTTGTGCCTTTTGAGACTGCAAACATCCATCATCATAAACATTCACACATTCACAAATCTCATATAGACTTGTACTTAATAAGATTCTGCACATTTTCTAGGTATTTTAACAAATGTAAGCAAAATTGTGACATCTTAAAATTCAACTCATAATGTTGATTATATAATTTACAATAAAAAGTATTAAATCAGAAAAATTCAAAATTGCAGCATTTTGTCAATGAATTATTACAGAATTAATAATACTTAGTTTGCAATGTTTGTACAGTATATATCTTCTGGAAGGCACCCACTGCTATTTGTGCTCTACATTATAGCTTATTGCTACTTGGAGTCATTTACTTCTGTGTGATTGACAGGTGACTAAGGGGCCCCAAGTACAGGTGCGTTTATGCGCGGAGGTCACAATGCCATCTCTCACAGTGTCAACAGACACACTGCAGTTTGACACCATCCAGTCCGGCCTGTGTCAGGTAATCACAGTCCAGCTGCACAATGATGGGCCAGTGCCCTGTGAGTGGAGCATCAGACAGGAGGAACGACCAAAGAAGGTACAAGCCTTGTACAGAACATACAAACAAAGAGCCAGAGTCATTTTTGTTTTTGGAATAACTGATGAATCATTCGCTGTAAGATTAGGATCATGTATTAAGAAAGTAAATAGAGTTAATTTGATTTCATGTTGACTTTGAGACTCATTTCCATCATTAATAAGCTGATTTAGTTTAGTAATTAATTATATATATCTGCTTGATATTAATGGGTGTTGGTCACAGTGTTGAGATTCATTCATCTTTGTGGCGTGTTTGTTGCTGCTAATCAGTTTTTTTTTAAGATTAGACTGTGGTATGAGGTTTACTTAAGCGCTCCTGTTGTGGGGTTTCCTCTGATAACATATCTAGTTTTGTTGTGATTGAATTGAATGGGAATTTATCCCAGATGTTGTCTCTTTGGCTGTGTGATCAGATTGACAAGCACATCCCACTGTACCTCAGAAGACAGGCTCAGCTGAAACAGCGGCCTCCTCCAGTTGTCTTTGAGTTATTGCCCTCAGATGGCACACTCTATCCTGGTGACAGAACCAACGTGCAGGTCAAATTCAGCCCAGCAGAGGGGGTAAAGAAACACAGACACTAGCTATGGTTACACAATTACTAGTTTTACATATACATTACAGATCAAAACTTTTTTTTTTCAAAGAAATTAATACTTTTATTCAGCAAGAATTGATTAAAATTAGTGAAGACATTTATAATGTTACAAAAGATATAATGTTCAAATAAATGTTGATCTTTTGAAATGTTCTGTTCATCAAAGAATCCTGAAAAAAGTATTTCCTCTAAATATTAAGCAGCACAACTGTTTTTAATATTGATAATAATAAGAAATGTTTCTTGAGCACCAAATTAGCATATTAGAATGATTTCTGAAGTATCATTAGACACTGAAGACTGGAGTAATGGCTGCTAAAAAACCAGCTTAGCCATCTCAAGGAATAAATTACATACAGTACAAATGTTCAATATTACATATATTTTAAAATAGCAAACAGTTATTTTAAAATGTATCAGTATTTCAGTATTTATCTGTATTATTTTTGATCAAATAAATTCAGACTCGGTGAGAATAAGAGACTTTTTACCAATCCCAAACTGTTGAATGGTAGTGCAATAATTATGAATGGGACTTTCTGATGTCTAAGTTCAAGATTAAATCTAGCTATATTTTAGTAAATCTATGTACACTTTATATTTTCTATAAATAAGATACTTACACAAATCAGTACCATTTTAAATTTGATTCCGCAAAGTAGAATGAGGACAGTGTAGTTCTATTGGGAGTCAGAGTAACATGATTGAGCTATAAATAATTCCTCTATATTGTTTCGCCTGCAGTTGATCTGCAGCCAGCTGTGTATCTTTATTCAAAGGCCTGGTTGTTTTCCTTCTGATATGTGTTCTTCAGAGGGCGTACATTCAGAGACTAGTGATAACAGTGGCTCAGAGCACTCAGAAGATCCTGCTGCTGGCCCAAGGTCAGGGAGAAGAGCCTCAGCTGGAGTTTTCCTCCTTAGAACAAGATTTTGGGTCCATCCTGCCCTACTGGGAAGGGAAGGTGGCCGAGGTGGTTGTCCGCAACCCTTACCCCTTCCCTATAGAGTTTTACTCTCTGGACTTCGACAAGCAGTACCTAGAAGAGGAAGAGGTGAGCTTAATAGGTTCAAAATAGTTTTTCTTGTTTTGTTTGATTTTTTAAAGATTTCTTTAATATCTATTTTATTTTCTCTTAGATAGTAATGAGATCACATACTGTCAATATGAAAATTCCTAATATTAACTAACATTTCTCAGATTATTTCAGACCAAATTATCTGAGCTTTACCTTCAGCATTTGCCTCAATTACTGTGTACTGTATATATTTTCAGTTCTCCCAGTGAATCTTATTTCTCAACAATGACCTTCAAATATGTGTTTGGTTTATATTCATCCTCTTCCAATGTGTCTTTTTATTCTGCTTCTCAGATCTTGCGAATGTTAAAAGGATACGATGCCCAAAATGTGTTACTTCTACCTCCCCGTGCTCCTGGCGAGACTCTGCCCCCAGAACTGTTGGACTTCTACAACGAGCAGAGCTCGCAGGAACCCAAGCAGGGTACCGTATACAGCAACAGAAATGGTTTTAATTTATGATCGATGCAGAATTGTTTATAAGACTAAAACACGTCTGACTTGGCACATGATCACAGGTTTTGCCTTTTGGCAGAATTTTAAGTGAATCTTATAGTTCTAACCTATTTTTAAGATTCCGTGGAGGGTCTTGAAGATGAAGACAAGGGGGAGACAGCTGCACTATCTGAGGGTGAAACACTCAGTGGTAAAGGTATGGTTCAGCCTAGGGCAACAGTAATTTAAATGCATTTGCATTCTTTATGAGATTGGAATTATAATTCAGTACATTATTACACATAAAAGAGAGTACATATTTCTTCTCCTCACAGGCCAGGCTAAAGACAACATCAGTGCTGGCACTGCAGTGGGGGATCTGGAATATGACCCTGTGTCTAGAGTTGTTGCTCATCATATGGGCATTGATCTTTCACCAGAAGGCAAGGCTGCCCTAAATCGCCGGGGCATTGCCATTGTTGTTCATGGTGCCCCTCTGTCAGGTAAGATTTTATAGATTTACCCATGTATGCATGCTATTTGTCCTGCTGGAAATTTCGCTCTGATGCAAATGTAAGCATCTATATGTGCAGGTAAAACAAGGACAGCAATTACACTGGCTAAGCACTATGGGGCAGCGTGTCTCAGTGTAGATGAGGTGGTGCAGGAAGCTGTGGCATCAGGGAACAGCTCTGCAGCCCTGAGGGCAAGGGAACAATGTGCCAAGGTTGCTGTGGTGCATGCTCAGAAGGAAGTGGATGAGGCAGCAGCAGATATGATGGCCACTGTTGGTCAGGGTGCTGGTGTTCTTAGTGTTGAGGCAGTTGCCAAACACACAGCTGAAGGCAGCCTGACCAGTGATCCTAAAGTCCCCCTGTCATCTGCCTCAACCCGAAATAAAACAAACATCACAGGGCATTCACAGAAGAATAACAGCTCCGGTCGCACTGCTTCACTGGTAACACACAAAATCTCTTGTCACTTAGTCACTTACATATCAGAAGAAAACATTTTGACTGAATAGTCTTTAGTTCTTGTTGTCCAGTAAAACTAATCTAAACATCATTAAAACTATATATTTACTTAAGAAACAGCATTATATAAGATATTAAGATTTTACTTGTTTTTAAGCAAAAATCCAATGTTTCTTCTAAATAATATATATATATATACTGTATATCAATTACAGTTTCCAAAAACTGTTTTAACATTGATACATTTTTTTCTTGAGCACCAAATTAGCATTTTGATGATTTATAGAGGATCATACACATACATACATAAACATACATATACATACATACATCAATACATAAACACACACACACACACACTATATACATACATATACATACATCAATACATAAACACGCACACACTATATTACAGTCATTTTTACTGGAATACAAAAATGCTAATTGAGAAAGAGATAAAATGTATATGTGTGAGTGTCAGGTTTTCCCTACATTAATATAGTAAATACATTAAGATACTGTAGTAAAACCAAACATATGGTGTAACATATGGATATGTACTGTATTGTACTGTGTCTTGTTTGTAAGTGTCATGTATGAATGGATATAAATAAATATTTAAAATGTGTGTGTGTGTGTTGCAGACAGATGGTCAGGTACACAGGCGTCTGAGTGTGAGTGCCAGTCAAAATGAAGAGCTGGGGCTGATTAGCTGCCTACTGCCTGATGATGTGTTAGTAGAGATCCTGTCAGAGAGACTGCAGGTGTGTACATTTTTGGTATACCCTATACATATATGATATATGGTTGATAATTTGTGTCAATCACAGGATATGCAGACATATAGTAATTTTGTCCTGCTTGCCCCCATGCCATAGCTTAGTGACTGTCACTGTGGTGTTGTGATTGACGGATTGGAGACACTGTACTGCCACTCGCCAAGTAAAACGCTCCAGATCATCCTGAAAGCCTTCGACAACCGTCGCCATATTTATGTTATCAACCTGTTTAACAGCTACAGTGCCTTCAAGCTAAGGTGCTCTACACTGTTCTGATTCAAGATTCTTCTTATATTTGAAAATGTATTTATTTATTATAATATTATATTCCAGAAGATACATGCATCCAGATACATTAACTTGAGACAATTTTTTTAAAAAGTTATTCAGGCTGTTTTTCAGACCATTTATCTCAGGTTTAAGTTTAGATTTTAGATTTACGTTAGATTTAGGCTATGCTTAAAACAAGAAAAAGTAACTTACCAACAGGATAAGACAAATATGTTTATTTCAGGATGTATTCTCTAAAAACAAGTCTTAATATCTTAATATATATTTTTGCTTCTTATTTTATTTTATTTATCTTCAAAATAAGACTAAATTAAAAAAGATTTCTTGCAGTGTACCCTGTAAATGAGATTTAAATGAGAATACAGGTTTTCATAGGTTTTAGTAATGACAGAAAATTTTCAACAAGTTCTTCACACTCGATTTTATTAAAAAAAAAAAAAAACTGTAGGTAAGAATGAGTTTGTGAAATTTAATTTGTGGATTACTTTAGAGAACAGGACAAGTTTGACCAAGAACAAGAAGAGAGAAGACAACAGGAGCTTGAGAATTTAAGAGAAGAGGAGATGACACCTAGTGAGGACTGGGATACAAAACCAAAACATGAAGACCCCCTGCCACTTTCTGAGGACCTACAACAAGAGATGGTAGGTTTGAGTGTGCAATTCGCAATATGCTTGCCATCAGAAGACTATTCTTGTGAAGCCTAAAGATGTTTCAGATTTTCATATTTAAAATTTTGTAACTTGATTACATGAACTACATGAAGTATTTGACTTCCAATCAAGGTAAAGTGTATAATTTATGTACCACAACCAGCACCAATTGTAATTACTTTAAACGAGATTGTCTGGCTGGTTTGCATTGTCCAGTTATGTTTGAAATCTATTTTGAAAACTATATTTTGTTGTTCTTCTTTAACAGTCCAGTGAGAGTGACAGACAGCTACTGGGCCGATTCCATCTGTACGAACAGAGTCAGCCAGAACTCCAACACATTCTTCAGTTCTGGGACCGAACACAGAGTCTCATATTGCAGCCCATGGCCTCCGAAGCCCAAGAGACTGTAGACATAACGAACTGTCCTCCTCCCTCTGCCAAGAAGAGCAAGAAGGAACGAGAGAAGGAAAAAGCTGAGAAGGAAAAGCTAAAAGTGGAGGCTGCAGATATGAAGTCACCAGCTCCCAGTCAGACCCAAGTGTCAACTGATGGTGCCGAGGGCTCGGAAAAGATAGCGGTTCCACAGCCTATCCCCTACATCTGGCTGTCTATAAAAGAGAAGGAACAACTGGATGGATTCGAGATCATCAGTAGCATGAAACTACCCTCCCATGAGGAGGTATAGTACTTCAGTTCCTCTTTATGTTGGAACAGTTCTTCATTGTGCAAAGTTTGTATCCATAGAATATCAAGTAAATGTTTTAAATGTTTTTCTCACAGGTTTTGGATGGGTTAGGGTTAGGACCTAAAGGTCCACCCATCCCACCACCTATAATATTCTCCATAGTCCCATACCCTAAGATGAGATCAGTTCCCAACACACAGCTCTCCAACAGCTGTTTTACTTTTTTGATGCCCACGTCTTGTGAGGATCTGCCAGAGAAGAAAGAAGCAGACCTGAGATCAGAAATCGTTAAGGTACTTAAGCCTTAAAGAAATTCTCTTGTACATGTCTAAGGTCTTTTAGTGATTTATACAGAATGTAACTTTAGTTTAAATGTGGAAAAAGACTTATTAAAAAGCGGTCTACTTGTCTTCCTGCAGGAGGGCATAACGATTACTGGCCAGGGTGTACCTTCTGAGGAACCCAACCCAGAATACAACCATGGGTAAGGAGGTCCCTCACACATATAAACCTCATATACAATCACAAATAAATAGACCCATTTCACTGAAACCGTGAAATCTGCTGTTCTTTTACAGACTCACTAGTTTCCGCTGGATTGTACCATCAAATGGAGCCATCACTCTAAGGATCAGGTTTTACTCTTCTGTTCTTGGAAATTTTGATCAGACTTTCAACTTTGAGGTGATGGGGACTAAGCGATGTTATCAGCTATACTGTAGAGGAATTTGTGCTTACCCAACTATAAGCAGAGACCCCAAGTGAGGAACATTTCAGTAGAGAAATATGCAGCAGTTATCATTGTCCTTGGACATGTACTACATAGTGTCTGTGTGTTTATGTAATAGGATTGTGTTTGCACACTGCAAAAAGAGTCTGCGGCCTGAGAGTGGACTTCAAAAGACTTACATTATCCAGTCAGGCCTGTATGAGTTTGGACCTCTGCTATGTGGAAAGACCAGGGACAGGTGCTGGCTTGTTGTTCTCTGTGCTAAATGAGCTCTTTTCATTATTGAGTGTCTTAACAGTACTTTTCTATTAAAGTTATTCTATAATAAATTTGTTTGTACATTAGGTCTTTAGTAATATTAATGATGTTATCCTGACCCAGGTATAAAGAAGCAAAATATCCTGAGAACATGGAAAAGTTTGTAATTCACAATACTTCTAAAATGGAGGCAGAGATCCATTTTTGCTTTCAACATGACACCAAGGCCACCACTTTCCTTCTTGACCCTCCAAATATGGCACTGGAAGCCAATGAGCGAAAAGTATGCAAATTTATATTTCTTATTTTTTGCAGAATGTAATTTTGGGATTGTTTGAACTGGAAGCCATTTTTAAATTTTTTAAATGTGATTTGAATCAGATTTTGTGGTTAAAAATATTGACTTAGCTGTATTTTCTCTAAACATACTAACTAGCCATTTCTTAAATTTGTTAACCACCTTTGCGGTTAACTATGATGTGCCTTATGAAGACCAACTGGTTGAAATGTTGCAATAATTTTTTGGGAGTTTTAATTTCAGTGTGTGTGGACATATTCCTTCTTTGTCTTGTGTTTTGAAGTTGTACACATTGAAACCTTTCTTTTTTAGCCACCTTTGTACCATCTTCAGCCTCAGTCTTATTAAACTCAGTTTAACACCAAAAAAGGCATTTACTTAAACTCCCTCATCATTAATGTTTGATATCCTCCTGGCAGCTACTGATGGTGTGGGCATACCCAAATACCCCCAAACATATAGAGGACAGCTTGGTGTGCTGCATCAAGGGGAACCCAGAGCCTGTTGTCTTCCGCCTCTCCTGTATAGGAGTCAGGCCTGAACTGGAGCTGGACCGCAAACTGCTCCAGTTTGACAAAACTCCACCATACAGGTCTACTACATTCACTTCAACATATACTGATTTTTGTGTTAGTTGTTATAATTAATCAGATGCACTACGGTTGAAAAAATCCTTTTCATAAATGTTTCGTATTTTGTCTGCAGAAAAGAAACCCAGAGTTTATGTCTGCTCAATAACACCCTTATGCCAGCTGCTTGGAGGCTGAGGGGCCTGGAGATTCTTGGGGATGAATTCAGCGTGTCTCAGAACAAAGGCATCATAATGCCTCATTCTGACTTCAGGCTGCACATGTATTTTATAGCCAAGAACCCTGTCAAACTGAAGAGGGCCATTTGTTTAGAGGTACTGCAGAATGAAAAACAAACGTTTTGCAATTGAATCATTAGCAGTGTTTACAAATGTGAAGGTGTTTAATGCAGATAAAGAGTAAATGTAATCATAATTCGTGTACATGTACTGGTATGCTATGCATTAGTTTGTCTGCATGTGTCTGATTAGACATGTATGTTTACCAGGTGTCAGATGTGGAGAACATTCTTGGCATCGTTCAACATTCAGAGAACATTCAGATTATTGCAGAGGCCTATGATATTGCAGTGGACATAACCATTCCAGAAGGTACTTACCTGAAAACAGCTCATTGGCTCTTCACACCATCACATCATTTTCCAGCTAAAAATAAACCCCTAAAATTAAAATTCTGTTATCATTTACTCACTGTCATTTTGTTCTAAACCTATATGACTTTCTTTCTTCTGTGTAACACAGTGACCAATACAAATTCCCTTTATTCATTTGATGCTGTTTTTGCATTTGCTGTAGATTCTGATGGTTCAGTAGACTTTGGAACAATCAAAGTATCAGACGAGGTCAAACGGTCTATTAAGCTGGAAAACAAAGGCAAATATGACATAGCCTTTAAGTGAGTTACTATATAGATATTTATAGATAGATACCATAGATAGATATATTCTATTTTAATGAAAAGAAAAACATCAAAGATGTCTTTAACATTTCTTCTCTCTCCTTTTGTTAATAATTTTCACTTACAGGTTTACTCTAGTGGCCACAGAGCCAGGAATGCCAGATCTGAACTCAGTGTTCTCCATCACTCCTCAGAAAGGCTCATTACGCCCCAACAATAAGCCCAGTACTGTCCAGATTATTTATCACCACAACCAGGAGATGTCCATCAGAGATAGCCCAATCCTTTGCTGTCAGGTCTTTTAATCTTACCACTTAATAGATTCTTTATCATACAGTATTTTTTATTTTCGTTCTGCTGTGATCAGAGACTAAAATAATGAGTTGTGTTGTATTTTCCCCAGGTTATTGAGCCCAGTTTGGATGGTGGCGAGACCATTAACACTATACCAATCAAAGTGTCCATCCAAGCACTTTTCTCCAAATACAGTATCAATCCTTCTAATGATATCAACTTTGGCCCACTGGTGTATGGCTCTCGCAAGAAACAGACTCTCACTGTGGAGAACAGAGGCAGCTTTGAGATGCGTTTCACCATTAGGATGTGTAAAAACGCCCCAGTTCCTGCACAGAGGAGAGGGTATGGCTATTGTAAAAATATAATTATATAATGTAAAAAATAAATAAATTAATTAATTATAAAAAATAATAAAAACAGTCAGCATTTGAAGTGGATCAAAACTTTTCATCAAAGTTGTCCTAAAACCTAAAACCAAAATGCATTCTTGCCTTAGGACAACTTGAAAACTTGATGAACTTTTTTGATCCACTTCAAATGTTGACTACTATATATAAAATTAAATTAAATGTCTTTTTTAAGCTTGGGAAGTAAGAAGCCATCAAAAGACAGTTATACTACAAAACCACCCAGTGCCAGTGAATTACGACACACTGTGCAGAATGAGACTGGCATATCAACACAGGTAGGAAAAGTATTTCTTTATTTACAGTTCTTGATAGAGTGTACAGTAACAATCTAAATTTGGATATGTTTTTTTTACAGATACATTTGACATGTGGTATTTTTTCATTGTCTCCGTGCTTTGGGGTTCTGGTACCTGGAGCCCAACAAGTGGTTACTGTGGATTGCAAGGCAGAGCATGTAGGTAGTTGGGAGGAATGTCTAGCTATAGACATCACTGACAGAGACCCCTCTGACAACCCTGATGGGATTCCATACAAGCTAATAGCAGAAGTTTGTATGCCAGGTTTGTGACTATGAATGATTCTACAGTATATAATGTTCTGTGAAGTACATTCTCTTATTATGTATTTTTTTGTTCATTTTTTTGATGGTTCATAAGAGTTGAGTATTTTGATAGCTGCCTAATGGCATAAACTTTAATTTATACAATATATTCTCATTGTGTAAGGGTTCTTATTCTGGTCTTGAAATGCTAAAATAACTTTTTATATTTTTTATTTTATATTAGCCATCCATTATTTTTATTACATTGAACTCTACCCGCCATTATCCACCTTTTAGTGCATGCCTCTGGGTTTGGTGGGCCCTGTGGTGTGTTGGTGCACCCCAGGACTCAGTAGGTCCTCTGGTGCAGCTCCGCCTCTAGGCTCAGTGGGCCCCATGGTGTAGCTCTGCCTCTGGGCTCATGATGTGTTTAATGAATGACTTGCTGCTTAAAAATAAAGTTTACTATACTAGTATGAATTATAGTGTAAAATTGATCACTGTATTGTTTACAGGAATAGCGAGTACAGACATTGCTTCTATCTTTGAGGAGCACCGTATCTGTAAGAACAGTAGCATGCTACAGTGTGAGCAATACCGGGACAGTATGGGCATCTATGTACAGGACGAGAACAAGTTTGTCTTCAACAATGTACTGGTGGGTCAGTCAGCCAAAGCCCAGTTCCGGCTGACCAATCCAGGAAAAGTGTCCTGTGAACTCAGCCTGGTGATCAAAACAGTCAAGGTGTGTTTGTGAGAAGTGGTTCTGACACTATTGATGTTATTCTGCCGAATTTGTACAAATTTTATAGCAATTTAATGTTTTGAAATATTGTAACTGTTAATTGTTGCTTAACTCTCTCTTTGCTTAACATTTCTGTTAACATTTTTTTTTTTGTAATTTAAGACGACAACGCACAATGCAGAGGTTTTTGAGGTGACCCTTACAAAGTTGTGTATCCCCAGCCACTCTCATGCTTTTGCCACAATCACCTTTTCTCCTTTAACTATGCACACATATCATGCAGTGTTTGAGGCACTTCTGAAAGGGAGCGCAAGGTAACTGCTTTCAATACAGGTTTGAACTGTTTAGATGGTTGTTGATAGTTTGTTGAGGCTTTACCCATTCTGTTTTGTAACACAGTCAAGCTTCTGCCACCAAACCCAAAGCTCTGGTGTTTGATCTAATGGGTGAAGGCAATTTGCCCTGCATCACAGTTCTGAGACCTATTCAGAGGACTAATCGAGGTCAGCCAGTGCTGCAGTTTAAGCGCTTATTGGTGGGACGAAGGCAGACTCTTCCATTAGTGATCAAGAACAATGGCAATGTGCCTGCACAAGTAAGATCAAAATTAGTTTTCAGCTAAATTTCTATTTCTCTGACTTTAATTTTTATTGTAATAATCCATTCTTTCCTTGTATTTGCAGGTTAGCATTGTACTACAGTGTCACCTGGACGTTTTCACTCTAAAAGCTGCTCCTGGCACTGTTTGCAGACTGGCCTCCTCACAAATAGAATGCAATCCCAGAGAAGGCAAGCCATAAACACAAATGAAGAGTCTGCATAGACATTCATTTCTGCAAAATGCTGTTATGATTTGCTTTTCAAATGAGCTATGAAACCAATAACACAAACAGCAGCAGATTGTTTTGGACCTTGTTCTGTTTCATTAGATTGGGTGTCATTGTTTATAGGTTAAAGAGATCAATTAGAGCTGGTTTTATCACAAAATGCAATGATCAGTATCTTTATGTCAAGCGGTCATGTTTGACCAAAGAATGCAGCCATTGACCAATCAGAATCATATATTCTAGAGAGTCGTATAATAAACTATATGAATATTTAAAAATGTAATAAAGTCATTTCAAGCTTTGTGGTTATTACTTTTTTACAGAGTGCTGTAGTGTAGGAGAAGGAACAATGTGCTATTTCTTCTGTGACTTGTGTATAAACATTTAGCTTGAGGCAGGCAACCATAAGCAGCAAATTGAAATAAAGAGAACGGTAGCATGAGATATGCATCAGAAACATATTAAAATCAAATGTATGTGACATAACTGCATTTTTGATCCTCTTCAGAGACACAACTAGTACATGTAGCCTCTCTGATCCTCATGGCTGGACAACAAGCAGAATTCCAGGTCGGGTTTCATCCAAAGGTGGCTCAGAAGTTTGAGGCCTGCTTGAAGTTAATGGTAAAGGATAACCAGTATGATCAGACAGTGGTGCAGCTTGTGGGTGAGGGTTACCATGACATCATCATCCTGGACAACATTGGCAGCAAAGTTCAGCAGGACAGCATTGAAAGTAAATGCAAGTTAATAGTGTGATTTTTGCTTCATTCTAAAGCATGATTAAAATAAAAATTGTACCATTTATTTTATGGATATTTTTGGTTTCAGTACCCACTGTTGGTAATTATGGCAATTATCCCTTCTTAATTCTTTCCTCAGGTATGTCTGACCTTCTGAATTTTGGAGACTGTCACGTGGGCCGCACTTACCAAGAAACTTTCACCATGACAAACCCAAGCAGCTCCAAGGTGCTGCGCTTTGAATGGCTTCCCAGTGGCCCACAGCTGAGCTTTTCTCCACAAGTTGGTCACTTGCATGCTGATTGCTCCAAAGTTGTGACAGTGAACTTCTACTCAGAGGAGCCCATTGTGCTGAACGTTCAAACAATAAAATGTAAACTCAGCGGTATTACCTTTCAGCAGCCTGTAGACCAGGTCCCAGACTGGGATGACTGTCATAGGACTGTTAAATGGATGGATGTAGAAAAGTCGCCACAACAACCAGCCAAACGGAAGGTGCGTTTCATAGAATCAGTGATAGAGATGACAGTAGCACAAATTAGAATAATGCAAATCCTGTGGTGCATCTATTAATATAAAAAGATAGCACATTTGATCTGTTTACTGGGGGTACTTCATTTAATATAATTATATTCATTTATATTAATTTTGATATAAAGTCACATTGTGAGATAAAAAAGTCACAAGAATAAAAGCTGCAATTGTTAAGATATGAAGAAAAATAAAGTGGCAATTGTTAGGTATATAGTAGCAATTGGGAGATATGATGTGGCAGTTATTAAATATGAATTCGCAATTGCAAGATACTCTATGAAGTCGCAACTGAGAGATATACTGTGAAGTGGTAGGTATTAAATATAAAGTCACAAGTGCGAAATATAAAGTTGCAATTACTATAAAATAGGGCTGCCCTCGACTAAAAAAATTTCTGGTCGACTAGTAGTCGTTCATTTAAAGCATTATTCAACTAATCATGTTTATTAATAAACATAAATATGAGCCTTTAACTGCCTACATAGCCTAATAAGCGCTCAAGCGCGCATAAAGCTTGCCACAGCACATCGGCAGAAGTAATAATTATGAATGTGTCAGGGAAAAACAGTAAGGAGGCTGCATTAAAATAAAGTCACAGTTACTAGAAAAGTTAAAATTACCCTGTTTTTTTACAGAGATGGAAACATAAATGTTAAGATATTAAAGGTGTTAAATTAAAACTGACTTCTAATTCTTACTTATAATCTTGTCACTGTGATTAGGTAGTAGCGACAGACCCGGAGCCTCCTCACTCTGTGGTGGAGAACTCCTCAAGAGAGATGGAGCTGATAGTTAGTGCCACATGTGATTACGCCAAATACCAATGTGATACTGGACCCATCCGTTTCAAAGACACAATGCTGTACCAGACCAGAGTCTTTCAGTAAGTTGAAGTGCACTCAAATTCTGTTGAATTTTCAGATTTTCATAAGTGATGTTATGTTTTTTTAGCCTCCAGATGGAGAACAAAGGCAGTGTTAAGCTGGAGTATTCCTGGCAGGTTCTGATGGAGACATATGGAAAGACTGCATGCTTTGAACATGGAGGTAAACCTTCAGCCTTAAAATGTTTGTGGTCTGATCATGTACCACAGAAGTATGTTTTTACATTTTCATTAGATGCAAGTAATCAAAAAACAAAACTGTATTAATATATCTGACGGATCAGGTAGGACTTCCCGCTCGGCTCAAGGGAGTAGGACACCAGAAAGACCAGCGAGCTCTCTGCAGAGTGTGTCCTCTCTACTGCTAGGAGACCCAGAACTTCCTCCCTTCAGTGTTGAATCCGACGTAGGGTTTATCAGCCCCGGAGCGAGTCAAACTTTCCACATCCGGTTCTCCCCTCTGGAAGTGGCTGAGTTTAAGGCCAGTTTGATCTGCAGGTCAGACTCTCAGAGGTGAAATTATTTGCTTATTATGACTGTTTGCTCAGTTCTAAACTTTTTATTTTTCATTTGTAGCATCACTAATCTGAAGGATCAGCAGAGTCCAGTGATCACCGTAAGTGGTCGCAGTTTGCTGCCATACTGTCATTTCCACCTAAAGGATTCAGACTACCTCACTGGAAACAGGCGGAACCCTGAGCCCCACAGTCCCCTCACTGTGGACCCCAATACCAGGGTTATAGAGTTCACCTCAGTGGGTATTGGCACGTCTGTCCGCAGGTAAAACATTTAATTTAATAGTTCTGACTTTGATTGAAGTCACGTTGTTTATATTACAAACAAATATAATATGCATATATGTATATTTCTAAATACTATCCTATATTATATACACTTAAATTATACATACTTATAAATATATTATACATATACTGTAGTGTGCATGTATTTGATCATACTTACTAGTTAAGTATACTGTAATATTGTAAAATGCTATTCAAACGAACTGTTTTGAGTTTTAATATATTTTCAAATGTCATTTATTCCTGTGGTGACAGCTGTCACTTGATCCTAACAGTATACATTCTGTGTACTATATATAAACAGGACATGGGTGATTTATTATTGCATAACACAAATAATGAATGCATTATTTTCTCTCAGGGAATTTGGTGTTATTAATCCCACAAACAAGCCATACTCTTTCATCTGGAGATGTGAGGACTTGGGCAAATCTTCTTTCAGCTGCCTTACACCAAACGAGTCCATTCAGCCAGGGAAAGAAGTGAAGGTGTTTTGTTTGAGATTTTAACAAATCATGCAGCAAATATTCTTCTTTTCAGACATGAATCGATATTACATTTTAATCTCTGTTTTCAGGTCTCATTTGAGTACCAGGTTCTCAACCTAGATTTAGTGGAATCCTTCTGGACCTTCTTAATCCCTGAGCACAACTTGTCTTTGCCCTTTCTGCTGGTGGGCACTGCTAATGAGCCTGTTGTCTATATTGATCGAGCCCACCTCAATCTGGGCAGTTTGCTACTAGGTGAGGTTTCAATAAAATGCTCGATTCTACCAACCATGTTAAAAGAATAGTTCACCCAAAAATAAACTTTCTGTCATCATTTACTCAACCTCATGCTGTTCCAAACCTTGTATTGGTTTCATTCTTCTGTGGAACACAACAGAAGTTATTTTAATGAGTGTTTCTGCCGTTTTTGACCATACAATGAACAACATAGGATCCTATTGACTTTCAATGTATGGACAAAAGGCACTGAGACTTTATGCAAATTATGACAGCGAGGAACTGGTTTAGATATAAAGAAAATTGAAAAGTGTAATTTTTTTAATGATTTTATTGGTTACGTATGCCAGTCTTTTCAGCAGGAGTGTCCATG